CTTGGCCTCCATTATTTTGTATATATTTTTGTATCTATCTCTGTGCATAGTTTTTCATCCCAGCACAATATAAAACGCTCTATGAACTGGTCAATTCATTGTAATTGGAACGATGCCCCAAAAGTCACTAAACTATGTATATACCCGTTGATCCAGCAATACCACCACAAGGTCTATTCTCCAAGGAGATCAAGGGATCCAGATGTGTGTAATTATTTATAGCAGCTCTTTTTGTAGCATCAAAGAACAGGAAACAGGATGGGGTGCCCATCCGTTGGGGAATGGTTAAACAAATTCGTTTGTGATTGCAATGGAATATTATGTTGTTAAGAATGAGGAAACATATGGTTTCAGAGAAACTTGGGAAGACCTTTATATAAATTGACGCAGAGTAAAGTGAATGAGCAGAACCCGGAAAGTACTGTATATAATGAAAAACAACTTGGAAATACTCAAGAACTCCAATTAATGCAATGGCCAACTACAAGTCTATAAGACTGTTGATGAAGCATACTATTCACCTCTTGACAGAGAGGCGATGGACTCATGATGCCAAGTAAGACACAAGCAATGTGGGGATATGCTTTTCTTGACTGTACACTTGTTACAAGGGCTTTTTTTTCTTTTCTTTTTTTCCAGTAAGAGAGTAGGACAATAGGGATAAGAAGGAAAGGAAAAAGAAAGGAAAGAAGGAAGAGGGAGGGAGGGAAAGAGAAAGAAAGAAGAGGAGGTCATTGAGACGTCTTTCTTTAAAATGCTGTGATCTGAAGACCAGTTCCCCAGAAGGCAGAACTAAAGCAATGGCTTGATGACAGGCAGCTTTTCTTAATAGTCAGAGACGTTCAGCATTGGAATGAGCTGCTCATATAGACCCTTCCCATGCCAATTCCTTGTCAGGGTCAGGGGAGGCGGGGAAGAGAGAGTTGGCACTTCTCACAGAATCCCAGAATTCTGTGAAATTCCGAGATTCTGATTCTGGGATTCTGGGATGTAATAATGAAACCCAGTAAAGGAAAATGACTTGCCCTGTGTCACAGTGGGCTTTTTCATGTGGTGTATCGGAAAGAGCTCCGAACAATCACAAGGCCTGGGTTCGAATCCCAGCTCTATCCCCTACTACCTCTGTGACAAATCATTTTATAGGACCATAAATTTAGAGCTGGAAAGGCCATTTAGTTCAACCTTCTTATTTCATAGATGAGAAATCTATGACTCAGGGAGATTAAGTGACTTGTCTAAAGTCATACATTCGATGGTAGAATTGGTAGCTCTCTTGGTCTCAATTTCCTCATCTGTAAAATGAAAGGATTGGACTAGATGAGCTCATTTTATAGCTTGTCCCTATGTCTTTCCATCCCAGTTATTCTTAAAGAACTTTCCTCATTAATCCCTAGTGTGAGAGATATCATCAATCTATTTTACAGGTGGGTAAACTGAGGCATAATGAAATGCCCAGTCTCAGACAGCAAAAGGCTGACAGCTGAAGACCCAGGGAGAATCCCTGGTTAGTTAGTCAATGTGTTGATATCCTTTGGCTCTCACTTGTCTCTCTGCCAGGATAGATCCCACCAATGTCCTGTGTCCATGATTGTTCAAGGTTTGGGTGAGATAACCATTTTCTACCCTCCCCCTCTTTTTCTGTTTATTTCTAAATCCCATGCTACAGACCAAGGTAGGCTAGGAAATGGAAGGGGTGGGTGTGGGTGAGTCAGGGATGAAAGAGCTAGAAAGGGCAAGTTATTTTTCAGTCACCCAGGGTGACAGGATAACCCTGCTGAGAGCTCCCAGAAGGTATGCAAGTCCAATTCAATCCCCCAAAGCGTTTTATTAAGTGCCTACCATATGCTAGGCAATGGGGATACAAAGCTAAAACAACAACAAAAATCTGCCCCCCCCTTCAAGAACGTTACCTTTATTTGGGGTGGGGGGAGTTTTTCAATTTGTAAACAGATCTTAGTTATCTGTGTGCATAAGAATAAAAGATAGACCTGATTGGGGATAATGTGGTTCAGTGGTTCAGTGGAAAGACCACAAGACTTAGAATCAGAACACTTGGAAAGGAATCCTGGCTTACTAGGTATATGACCTTAAGTAAGGTACTTCCCTTCTTTGGCCAATCAATCAATCAATCAATCAATATTTAGTGAGTAAGTGCTTACTATATGTGAGGCAGCTAGATGGCTTGGTGGATAAGTGCCTGGAGTGAGGTCAGGAAGACCTGAGTTCAAATCCAACCTCAGACACTTACTAGCTATGTGCCACTGGGCAAATCACTTCAGCCTGTTTGCCTCAGTTTTATCATCTGTAAAATAATCTGGAGAAGGAAATGGCAAACTACTCCAGTATCTTTACCAAGAAAATCCTATGGGCAGTATTGATTGCTATGGTTCAGAGGCTCATGAAGAGTCAGACATGACCAAACAACAACATAGGTGAGGGACTGAGCTTAGCGCTGGGGGAAAAAGACAAAAATTAAATAGTCCCTGCCTTCAAGGAGATTACATTCTAATGGGGGAGACAGCATGTGTACATATGAGCATATACAGGTTACAAACAAAATGAAAAAATGTAGTTTTAGGACATAGCAGCTCCCCTGCCCCTTAACATATGGGGGGAAGGGGGAGGGAGGAGGGCAGGAATAGGAAAGGCCTTGTGAGTCTTAAAGGAAGCCAGAGGAGGAAGTTGCTATCAGGTATGGGAGCACAGCTAGTACGATGGGAAGGAAGGCAGGAGATGGAATAAAGTAGTGTGTTCCAAGCAGTATAACTAAAAAGATAGTAAGAAGAGGCATCAAGTGGAAGACTGGCGAGGGAGGAAAGGCCAGCGTCGGCTCGAGCTGTAAGAGATGGACTTCACAAGTTGATTTCCAAACTTCTTCCCAGAAATAGCTCTCTTATGAGTTTGTGCCTAGCAGGATGCTGTGGTTGGAATCTGGAAGACCTGGGTTCCAATGCTGCCTGTGACATTCACTAGCAGAGTGAACCTGGAGAAAATAATCACTTACTCTTTCTAATATAGAAATAATAGGCATATTAATGTCTGCAGTATGTACCTACCTCACAGGCTCTCTGCGAGCCTTAAAGGAGACAGTCCTTGTAAATTGCTTTGAAACCTTTAAACCTGGTGTAGAGGGGGGTGGGGAATTGTGGTCAGAGGAAAGGCTTGGCTACTGGAGGGAATGGTAAACATTGGCAGCAATCCAATTTGACTGGCACATCGAGTGTGCCAAGGGGAATAATACAAGATGAGGCTGGAGATTCCCAGGTTCAATTCCATTTGAGAAGCATTTGTTAAGTAACATCTTTGTGCCAAGCATTGTGTTAGGTGCTCAGATACAAATACAATTATGCAGCTACTATGTGCCAGGCACTGGGAATATACAAATAAATGCAATTTCTGTCTTCAAGGAGTTTATATTCTACTGGGGAAAACCAACCTGTAATTAGGTGAGTTCAAAATAGATGCAAAGTAATTGGGGGTGGGGGAGGCCTCACATTGAGGTGACTGGCTCAGGAGCTGAGCCTTAAATGGAGCTAGGGATGGAGGGGAGAGGGGGAGCATTCCAGGTTGACAGCAAGAAAAGGGTTAACAAAGCAGCCTAGCGCCAAGGGACTGTCCCTGAGTCCCAGCTGGTGAGTATGTTTTTCAGGATTATTGATAATGAGAAGGCTAGGAGGGGAAGAGAAAGAAAGGCATCTTGGGCATGAAATGGGTCACCTTCTTGTACCACTGGGTAGAGAGAACAGCAGGGAGAGGTTTGCCAGCACATTGGAGATAGAAGAATGTAAGCTTCTTGAAGGCAGGGACTTTTGCTTTTGTCTTTGAACCTCTAGCACCTAACCCAAACCTCTGCTAATTCCAACCTGCTCCTAAAACTGAACTAATGGGCTCTTAAGACCATCCAGTCTAACCACTTCATTTTATAAATAAGGGCACTGAGGCTCACTGGACATGGACTTGTCCAAGGTAGTGGCATGGTTGAGAATAGGTTCCAGGCTTCTAGCTTCTGTCCATGAACAGTTTCTTTCTTCCTGGCAGGAGTTAACTTGGTTTATAATAAGCCCCAGTCCACTTTTGGTGTAAGGAGAGGATGGAGGACAATGTCAGCCCAAAGGGAGTTTGGCAGGAGGGATTTCTGGGCTGGGCATCCTTCTCCTCACCAGGTGGTGGCAGCTTCAGGGCTAGGCAACAAGACCCTTCCCACCTACCTAAACTGCCTGTTTTTTAACCCTTTCCCTGCTGGCCCCAGCCTCAGAAATGGGGTGGGATGAGGCAAGGCAGTGTTAGGGGAAGGCGTGCCATGGTCCTTGAGCACGGCAGAGACGACTCCCTGAATGGGGCAAGACCACCTTAAGGGTCTGAGTTCCCAAACAGGAGGGAACTCCTGGGGAGAACCCCCACCTAGTTCTCAATGAGGGGGCTCCAATAATCCAGAATTCCCTTTTTATTGCCACTCTCCTCTTGGAGTGGGGTGGGGGAAGAGGTGTGTGTGCCTCTCACCCTAGTCTGGGTAGAGTGAATACATGTGCCAGGGTCCGTGAGGGTGGGGAAAAGGGGAGAGCTCTCAAACAGAACTGGATACTCCTATCACCAGGCACAGCATGGTGGGGGGGGGTGAGTTAGGGGGTGCTCCGCACAGGGGCCACTGCACCGTGGGGGAGACTGCCTTAAACCAGAGGCGTGGGGATCCTCGGACACCTGGCACAGGGGCGGGGGTGCAGAAAAAGCTCTTCCCACCGGGAAAGTGAGGGTGGGGAGCCTCGGGGCTCCGCTACTCTCGGGAGCTACTCAGAGGGAGGGGGGAGGCTAGCTAGGGGCCCCTCCATATCCTGGCCCCCAGCTGCACCCCACCACCCCCGCAGCTTCGGCGGCCGCGGCCGCCTCTGCCAGCCCGGGAGGGAGGCCGGCGCGGGTCTTTATGCGCGCGGGGCGCCGGGGGGAGGAGCCCGCAGGTTGGCCCCGGCCGGGCCCTCCCCTCCCGTCCCCGCCCGCCCGCCCGAGCGGGGTCGGGGGAGGGGGCAGCATGGCCTGTCCGTCCGGCCCCCTCCGCCGCCGCCGCTCTCCTCCTCTACCCCGCGCCGAGCGCCGCCGCCGCCGCCGCTCCACTCGCCCTGCCGCCCGCCGCGGGTCCCGATGGAGACAGACGCGCCTCAGCCCGGCCTCGCCTCCCCGGACTCGCCGCACGACCCCTGGTACGGCCCGGCCCGGCCCGGCCCGCCCGGGGCCCCGGGCCTCCCCCGGCGGCTGCTCCCGCCGCCCGGAGCCACCAACATGGCCGATGCCGGGGCCGGCCGGGCCTCCCACCCGGCCCGGAGCCGGCGCCGCTCCGCCGCTCGCGCCCCGAGCCCCGCGCTCCCCCGGCCCCCCGGCCCCCGCTCACTCGGGCTCTTTGTGTCTCTCCCCCTCCTCCCGCAGCAAGATGTTCATCGGGGGACTTAGCTGGCAGACCACGCAGGGTGAGCGGGGCCGGGGCCCGGCCCGGGGGAGCGGGAGGGACCCCTGCCTGGACGGGACGGACAGGCACGGGGCGCGGGCGGCCCCGGAACCAGACACCCCACCGCCCCCAGCCCTGCTCGCTCCCGGCGCGCTCCTGGCCAGCCTGGCATCGGCCCCGGGACCTCCCCTCCCGGGCGCTCAGGGCTCCAGCTGGGCCATCGGGGACACTCCGCCCCCGGGTTCTCCATCCTGGGTGATCGAGGACCCCCCCCAAGGAGTCCGCGCCCCTTCCCCGACCTCACGGGGTCCAAATCTTGGGTTCGCCGTTCCCCCCCACCCCCCTTAACTTCACCCACCGCGGACCTGAGCCGCACTGAGACCACAAGGGAACGAACGGGAAAGCCCAGAACGGCCAGGTCGGGGGAGAGAGGGCCCAGGGCCGGGGCTGGGGTGGGGAGCTCTGCGCTGGGCATCCTGGGCCCCCGGGACCAGCCGGGAGGGAGCTCAGCCTCCAGCGCGCGGGCGGGCGCCGCGCAAACTCCGCCCGGGCGCCGGCTCTCGCACCTGCGGCTCAAAACTTTTGTAACCCGGTGGTGGCGGGAGCCAGGTTGGAACCCCGGGAGGAGCTGGGAGCCCGACAGACCTGCAGCCCCGGGTCCCTGCCGCCAGATTTCCGGAGCCACACCGGGCTGCCTGCCTGCCTGGTCGCCTGCCGGGTATCCTCAGTTGCTGATGGCAGGGCTCCCGGCCCGCGGGAGGGAAGGGGGCCGTGACTAGAGTGGCCAAAGGGGGCTCCAAAGGTGGTCAGAGAGCCTTGAGGACTCTCGGCTGCCAGGCCCAATAAGGGCTGGGAGGGGGGCACTGGGGCCCTGGGCTGGTCCGAAGCCGGGTGTGTGGTTGCAGAGGGCCTACGGGAGTACTTCGGCCAGTTCGGAGAAGTGAAGGAGTGTCTGGTGATGCGGGACCCACTGACCAAGAGATCCAGGTGAGCCCCCCCCCAAGACCCACCCACCCACCTTGGCCCTCTTCCCACTCCTTCCCTCCGGCCCTGGCCTTTGCCCTAACCATGGCACTCTTTCTTTCCTTTTCTCCATCTCTGCCCCCACTTGGACCAGGGGGTTTGGCTTCGTCACTTTCATGGACCAGGCAGGGGTGGATAAGGTGTTGGCCCAATCCAGGCACGAGCTGGACTCCAAAACGGTGAGTAAAGAGGCTAGGGGTGGGTGGTAGTGGGGAGAAACCTAGACAGGTTTCAATGGCTGTTCTTCAGTCTTGGATGACAGTGAGCCATCCACAGCAGATCTTTGGCCACTGGGTTGGGAGGGAGTTTTGGTATGCTCACCTGCCCCCTTCCTTGCTCTTTTCTCTGGCCTCTAAGTGACCAGAGACTCCAAGGCCCAGTCAGGATCAGTCGTCCCCCCCCACCCTCCCCCTTAAAGGAACTGCTGGAGAGGCGGGTGAGGAAGCTGGCTTTCCAGAGACTGAGTATTAATACCAAAGAGAAGCTGAGGGTGGAGTTGGGGGGAGGCAGCTAGGGTGGGGTTAGGGTCAGCCTCACTGGACCCTCCCCCCAGCCCAACCTGGGTGAGTCAGGATGGTAATGACCTACCCTGTGGCATTGCTCTGGCTCCTACTAACTAGTATTTGCCTCAGATAAGACTTGCCCAGCTCTGCTCAGTTCCCCTCCCTGAAGTAGGTGGACTTCTCTTCTCCCAGGGTGATGAGGCTGTGTCCTCTTCCCTTTCCTTCCCTTCCCTTCTCCCCTGCTTTGGGTCAGTGGGCCTCCTCCCTTTGTCTGGAGACCTTGGGCTTTTTGGTGGGTGGGTGAATTTCTGGAAAGCCACCCTAGGCTCGAGGTGATGGGGCATGTGGAACTAGAAGCCAGCCATTGTCCCTATGGGAGAAGGCCTCCTGGTCCTCCAGTGGAAAAGCTAAACTTCTGGAACATTTTGCCAGTGTCTAGTTAACCTCTTGGCCCTGGGCCTGCAGAGGGCATTTGCTGGGGCTGTAATAGGAGCACATTGATGATGGTAACCTGGCCATGGGGTTGCTGCATGGCGGTGTCAGTGGCTGGGGGGGGGCGTTGAGGGGAGTGTGGAAGCTGTCTGTCGATGAGACAGGACAGTGTGATCTTTTCTGGAGCTTTCTACCTCTACTCCCCCGGCACTTCCCCAGCCCTGGGCCTCCCTGCTCCGGTCAGCTACTGGCTCCTGTTTACCTATAACAATGACTAGTTGTGCAGAAGAATTTGTTAAATTACCATCTGTCCCCTCCAGCTCCAGCACTCCTGTTATCTCTGCCCAGTGGCTCCCTCTCAGAGTAATGAGAAAATGAGGCCAGGCCACAACTTTGTGGGCTCTGAAGGCATCTTCTTGGCAGCGGCTGAATGACATGGGCTGGGAGTGGACAGACAGTGGGTCATTGTTTTTGGCTTATTATCTTCCCTCGGCCTCCTGCTCTCCTACGGTCCCCTGTCCTCAGAATGCACTGAAGCTTTAGGCACAATTCAGGAAGCCAGAGATTTGGGGGTGGGTGTGGGCCTAGGGAGCCCAGTGGGCACAAAAGGGGAGGAAGGAGGTAGGAAGGGGGTAAGATGGATATCCCTGGGAGATACAGGAAGGGCAAGCTGCTTGTGGTTTGGAGACCTCAGGCTGTGGGGAAGGGATGGGAGAAGAGGTTTACTCTGCAGTTTATTTTGGGTTCTTACTTTTACTTTTTATTTACTTGTTGAATTTATTTAGTTTTCTGGGTTCTGAGTGGGGGGGGTAGGGTTGTGTTTGAGTGTATATTCAGTAGGTCTGTGAATCTGTGACTGCTTATGTCTTCATGGGCCTGTGTGTGACTCTCTCATGTGCTCTGTGTGTGTGTGTGTGTGTGTGTGTGTATGTGTACACCAGCCAGACAGCCAGGCAGTAAACCTTTGGTTCTTTCTGACAAGTGAATAGATGAGAGAGAGGTTGGGGGGAGTAGGAGAAGCAGAGAAAAGCCAGGCTGGGAATCACAATACTAGTGAGGGGAAGTGGGCAGCTGTGATTTTTCTTGGGGACCCAGTTGGACCAGTGGGCTAGTGGGAATGGTGCCAGATGGGTCATCCTAGCATCTGCTTTTCAGGGGGTGGGGGTGGGAAGAGAATGGATGGATCCGGTTTTGAGAAGTATGGTGGAAAGAATCAGATCTGGAGTCAGAGGATCTGGAGTCAGAGGATCTGGGTTCAAACTTTAGCTCTTTTATTTCCTCTGTTGTCACTTTCCCTTCCATGGTCAGTTTCCTTATCTGTAAAATTAGGAAGTTGGACCTGGGGATCTCTAAGGTCTGTTCTGCCTCGAGAGTCTGTGATCTGCAGGAAGGTTTCCTAAGCAGGGCCTGTAAGTTTCTAGCTGCAGAGGAATGAGTTTTCTAGACTGTTTGAGCAAGAAGTGTTTTCTGTGGCTGGATAATGCAGAGGGAAGGGGGGATGAGTTATGAATTTTAAAATGTCAAAAGTCTGTCTACCTACCCCTCCTTCTTCTTTATGTTAGGGAGTAGAGACAAAGTCCTTTGCAAAGGGCCGCCTTGCTACATTATCTCTGCTGCCTCATTCTGTATTGTACCCATTGACCTTTGATGTCCATCAGCAGCCTTGAAGGATGGTGCCAGGACTGGAGAGAGTGCTCACAAATGAATTCCAAAGAGAACAATATAAAGTGAATCCCTTCCTTCCCCTCTGCTGCCTGGGCTGGGCCTATCTCGGTTCCCCGCCCTGATTAGAATTGGGTATCACCCCAGAATTGGCTGCACCTGTCCAGGAGCAAACCTGAGAGGCAGTTCTGATTTTGTTAAAGTCATGGTCAGTGGTTCAACATGGCGGAAGAGGGCGGGAATGAGGACTAAACTCCAGCTGGAGGAAATCTGGGCTCACCGGCAGCTCGCATGCCTATGTCTAGAAATCTCCAGTAGGCTTTTTTGGGGGCGCCCAAACCAAATTTGAGGCAGTACATTTTGGATATTAGCTGGCTTCTCAGGGCAGTAAGTGGATGTGTCCTACCTGCCCCCCCAGAAAGTTTGTGGGTGAAATTGGTAAAGCCTGGGAACAGGCCTTGGGTTTATAGCATAGCAGGTCCTTCAAATCCTGATGGAAGGATGTCCATTATATAGTCTTTGTCTTAATATAGTGAAGTGAATACTGGTTTACCTTCAGAGGACAGGACTTTAAATTCCACTTGTCACTTCACTAGCTGAATGACCTTGGGCAAGTCTCATAAACTTCTCTGGCCTTGAATGTCTTCATTTGTAAACAGGAATAGATGGCCTCTGAGGTCCCTTCCAGCCCTAGAGTGATGATCCAGTTATCAGCTAGTTCTTACTTCATAACAAGAGAAAAGAGCCAGGAGCTGAGAGACATGCTAGGGGAAGGGAATAATCATTTATATAGCACCTACTATGTGCCAGGCCCTGTGCTAAGCACTTTACAAATATTATCTCATTTGTTCCTCACAATAACCCTGGGAGGTAGGAGCTATTAGTTACAGATTACAGTTTTACAGTTGAGGAAACTGAGGCAAACATCGGTTACGTGACTTAGGTCTTCTTGACTTCGAGCCTATCACTCTATCCACTGAACCACTTGCTGCCTCTTAAAGGGTTTATAGTTCATTCATTGACAGATGTGTTTTTCAACGCCTACCACATGCAAAGCACTGTGTACTTGTCACTGGAAATACAAAAAACCCGAAGGGAGATAGTCCCTGCCACGTAGGTGCTTAATAATTGCTTGTGGAATTGGGCACATGTGGCTGTATGTATCTACTGCATGTCTACTTGGAGGCCTATAGTTAAAGCATGCTTCATATTCCCATTCTGTTTCAGATCGATCCCAAGGTTGCATTCCCTCGTCGAGCACAGCCCAAGGTAAGTTGTTTGTGCCCATGACTTTGAACACTTCCCTCCTCTCTAATATGCAGTGACTAGAGATCACCATTCTCTCCCTTTCCCTCCCTCCCACCCCCCTACATACGAATTTTCTTTCTGTTCTTGGCACAGGGGGCCATGGTCCTTTAGCTTAGGAGTGAATATTTTCTATGGCTTCAGAATAGGCCTTCCCCCAATTCTCACCAATGACCCTTTAAGCTTAGGTCCCTGATGATGGAGCAGAGTGGACCACGTGGCAGCAGAGAAAACATGGAAGGGATGAACAGGGAGGCTATGGGTGGGATGCTGCAGGTGAATTTGGTGCCAGGAAGTTATAATAAGCTCCTTGGGGATTAGAGGAGGGACTCATTTTTGGTTTTGTGTCTCTAAAGCCTAGCCCTGTGCCAAATACCACCTTTGCTCGATTGGTGGAAGAAACCCATACTTTGTGGGGAACTGAGGTATAGGATCAGTCAGTGAACGAGCATGTGTTAAGCACCTGCTAGGTGCTAGGGATCTAAAGGAAAAATCAAAACCTTCCTTGCTTTCAAGAACTTTTATTATAAGAAGGGAGGCAGATACAAGGTAACTTTGGCGGTTGGAGGGTTTTATGTTTGGTGTTACTAGCAGACAAAGGTATGACTAAATTGAACCCCAAGTCTAAGCTTTCTCAGCTGCAGGGCATTGGAGAGGCCCTGCTCACTGCCACTGATTTTTCTGGTTAGGGCTTAAGAGAGGAGAAAGGAATGGAACAGAAGAGTGGCCAGAAGCCTAGTAATGAATCCCACCCTCTCTGGGTCCCAGACACCTAGTCACCTATTACCTTTCAATGCAGGTGGATCTGGCCTGGTTCCCAGGTGTCCTCATTCACTGTGCCTCTGGGGAATTGTTCTGAATTAGGGGATGGGTTCAAGGGGAAAAAACCTGATTTCTGAGTCAGTGAAGCTATAATCTTCTGTCTTGGTTGAGGTTGGGAATGGAAATGTGGCATTCTGGCCTCTCAGTCAAGTACAGAACCTTGAAATCTTCACTCATAGAGGAAGAAAAATCGAATAAGCATGAATACACAAAGCATCTTCATGGGGAATTTAGAAAGGAGGGATTCCAAAGTAGTTAAGACATATTATGGGTTGATTTTTCCCCCCATTGTTTAAATGTCAATAATTTGGAAGCAAGCTATTAATTGATTGCATTAATGGTTAATGTTTTGTGGAAAATTATTTTGAAAACTTTTTTAAATTAAGAAATAGCACCCCCAACCCCCCATACCCATTCATCCATGCCCTGCTATCATCCCTCCCTTTCCTAGGACCCCCAAGCCTGTCTGGAACTTCTAGTCTTAGCACCACTTGTGGGTTTAGAGACCAGAGGCCTCATCATAGTAATTGAGCTAAGATCATTGAATTTGAGGCCAATTTTATCTATGTGTGTGTATCTATATGTATGTATCTGTATGTGTATATATAGATATTTACTAGCAGTTCTTTGTGTGGCCTAGGAGCAAGTCACACTCTCTCTGGAAACATCAGTTTCTCCCTTTTTTTGTACTGGGGGTCTGCATTAAGGCAGTTCACCTTGAGAGCCTGCATGGAAGGCTGAGCACTGAAAACAGAGAGGGAAAAAGGGAGAAAGTGTATGGAGGCAGGCAGGGGACTGGTCTGGGAGGGGAGCAGGCCCTGGAACTGAAAACAGTTACTGAGTAGGTATCTCAAGTTAGCCACACCAGGAAGCAAGCACATGGTCAGAACTGGGTTAATTCCATTAAGCAGTTCAGTGACAGAAGGTGCTTTAGAGTTAGGGCTGGCCGGGAACCTTCTTGGATTAGCCATGCGCGCCTGGAGTAATTAGGACCATGTGTTCTTCCCAAAGCAGGGCTGAGGCTGAGGAGCTGCCAGAGGTTGGTAGCTGAGAGAAATGTGGGAGAGTTTGGTTGTGAGGTGATGCTGTGGGTCTTGACCTCCCCTGAAGGGGCAGTGGGAGGTATGAGGATATCCCTATTTCAGAATTTCCCAGCAGACCTTGGCACAGACCCCATCCCCTGGGTCAGGCCTCTGTGGACCCCACCTTCGGGGTGCAGCCTCCAGGACTGGGCTTCTATAGGAACACAGAAAAGGGGAGAAGTGAGGATGCAGAGATTGTATTGGGAGCCGGGAGGGAAGCCAGTGAGAGCAAAGCAGCAGAGGTTGGTTTCTTAGGCAGGTACAGGAAAGGAAGAAAGAATTGAGTTCTGCAGGCCTACTGGAATATGCAGCTGGTCTGGAGTGGGGTTTTGTTTTGGGGGAGGCATCTCAAGGGTGCATGCTGTGGCCTGGGACCATGTATTGAATGTCAGCTGCTGTCCCTGCAGGGGAGCCGACCCCTGCTGCTGGTTCGGGGCTGGAGTACTCAGATGCCCACTTCCCTGTCCCCTCCCCCTAACAGATGGTGACTCGGACCAAGAAGATCTTTGTAGGGGGGCTGTCGGTGAACACCACGGTGGAAGATGTGAAGCAATATTTTGAGCAGTTTGGGAAGGTGGGTCTGAATGCTTGGGCTTTGTCCTTGGGGGTAGAGGAGGGGGTTCAGAGCTAAAGGTAGCAGACCCTCATTAGCCATCCAGGGGAATGGAGATTATGGTTGAGATACCCAACATATGATAGGTGCTCAAGAAATATTTGTTTGTTAAGCTGATTGGTAAGTGAGACCTCTGCCATGTTAATATTATTTCTGTTAGAAACAGGGATGGAAAAGTCCCCAGTCAGGGTCTAGGTATTCATCCCTGTCACCCCCCCTCCCAGGGGCAGGGGCCCCTTCGGGATCTGGGCCAGCTTCTTTGTGCCTCTGACTCTGGCCATCTCCCAGGGGAGAGGATGTCATACAATAGCTGTCCCCATTCCTGGACCTTCCTTGATGGTTTTTTCTTGTTTACCTTCTCCTGGGGGTGGTCTTATGCTTTTGCCTTGTGGCTGGTTCAGTGTGGTTATTCCTTTCCTTCCTGGGAGTTTGCACCTGTCCAGGGCTGCAGGCAGCTAGTTGTGCCTTTCACCACCACCCCCCAAACACATACACACACACACACACACACACACATACACCCCTTTCCTAGTGATGATAACTCTACTAAGTACTCTGCCCTCTTCCACCCACTCAGTCAGGAAGGGTGGTGAACTGTCCCCTGACCTGGCTCTCTAAAAGGCACCTTTGATTCCTAATCTGTCCCAAAACACTGATTCCCCAGCCCCGTGAAGGATCTCCAGTTATCTCAAAGGTTGCTGGGAAATTCTTCCCTGTTGAATTTAAATTTAATTCACCTTAAATCTGAATACGTGCATAAGAGTGAGTGAGTGCATTCATATATGTGTGTGTTTATAGCATAGCAGGAGGAAACATAGGCTACTTGGAGATCAGACTCTTAAGGTTTCCTAACTCTGGCTTATACCACCCCCAGGCCATAGGCTTGGGAAAGGGTCGCAGGGAGTGCAGAACATTGGGAGGACAGGATATGGACACTCCATTACCTGCATGAACAGGATGTGAATAGAGCTAATTGATATTTCAGGCTTGTGCCTGAATACTTTTTGGTGTATATCTAAATAGGGCAAGAAGGAGATAATCGAGATTAGCACTTGGACTATGTTACAGTTTTTCAGCCTCCTAAAATCCCCTAAAGGAGACTTTTCAGGGAAAGGGCAGCAGAAGGAAGTCCCCTTAAAGCAAAAGTTTGAGGGTAGGGAACTTGGAAAAGTCAGCTCCTTTCTCTAGGCCTCAGTTTCTTGATCTGTCAAATGAGGTGGCTGGACTGAATCTCTAAATGTCCTTCTAACACCGACATTCCAGAGTCCAAAGTCCCTTCTAGCTCTGATAGCGTGTCAAACTGTCAATGTTCTAAGGTTCCTCCTTAGGGCCGACGTAATCGTCTCTAGCCTAGAGCTCTTTTTCAGCGGAGGCCTCCTAGGTCCTCACTTTGTATGGACTGAGATCCTTTCTGCGCTGATGTTCATGGCCTTTTCTGAAAAGGATCGACATTCTACAGTCTCCTTAGTCGGTGCCCCGACATTCTGTATTCTAGGGTCTTTCTAGTGCCAACATTCGGTGGTCCCTCATTCTACATGCTAAGGTCCTTTGTGTCCGAACATTCTAAGGGGCCTTCCTCGCGCTCCCATTGTGTGTCTGGGCATTCTAAAAGCCCTGGCCTCGGCGCTAACCGGGCATGTCTGAACGTTTTAAATTCGAACGTTCTTTCTGCCAACGTTCTACGGGCGGGAGCTCCCTTGCAGCCCTAACGTGCTAGGAGCCAGTGAGCCAGCTCGGTCCCTATAGACAGGGCCCCAGGTGGGTGGGTGAGGCAGACAAGCAGGCAAGCAGATAGGTAGGTGGGCAGGTAGGAAGGCAGGAAGGACGGACATGCGGCAGGGCTTCATGTGGGCTTGGCGTGGCGTGGGCTTGGTCTCCCCGGGGAGCCCAGCCCCGGGGGTGGCCCCACCTCTCGGGTCCGGCGGGGGCGGGGCCTCCAGGGCCTCCCCGGGCTGGCTGGCCAGGCTCGGGGCTCCTCCTCGGGCTGGCTGGCCAGGCTCGGGGCTCCTCCTCGGGCCGCCTGCAGCGGGGTGTCTTTGTGTCTGTGCGCTGAGCATTAGAGCTCACGCTAATCTGATCCAGCAGCTGTGATTGGAGGCCGCCTGCCCCCGGGGCCGGGGTTACCATGACAACCGGGCCCCAAGAGAAGCCGTCAGCGGCAGGCTCTTTTGTTCGGACCTAAATCGGCGTTGGCATGTGAAACCGGCCCGGGGAGGCCGGGGGAGCCGGGGAGAATAGGCTGCCGGGGAGCAGGGGGACAGCCCGGAATGCCAAGGGCCCAGCGGAGGGGGTGGGGAGGGAGGGGGACCGGCCGGGAGCGAGGGGCCCGCGGCCGCCGCAGGGGAAACAATGGTCAGCGGGCGACGCCTGCCAATCTTGCTTAGTGGCCCCGGGGCCCGCCGAACTTGGCGGCTCTCACTGGTCAGCCGCGCGCACCAGCCTCCCCTCCCCCTCCTGCCCCCCTGGTTCCCATGGAGACCAAAGCCTATTAAGGACACTGCCTTGGAAGCCCATTGGAAGCCCCCGCTGGCCTCCCCTCGCCTGGCCTGCTGGGAGGGAGGGAGGAGACTGGGGGGAAGGGGGGGGGAAACAGGGGCCAGGGAGGCTTTGGAATTCGACCTGGGCCCCAAGCCACCCGACTGACCTGGCTACTTCCCCCTGAACCCCGCCCCCCCACCTCCCTTCATCCCTCCCTCCCGCCAAGGGCTGGGGCTGGGTGGGGTCCGAGCCTGCCTCTGCCACTCTTGGAAGAAGGAACCGAGGATCATCCCCTAAGTGCTGAAAGGGAGCTCTACCTCTCTGACAGAGGAAGAAACTGAGGCAAGAGAGAGATTATAGGATGAGAGATTTAGAACTGGAAGGTCTCTCGGAGGTCATCTGGTCCAAACTCTTCACTTATAGAGGAGGCCCAGAGCGGTGACTTGCCCAGAATAACAGAGGTAAACATGCTCCACCTTCAGATCAAGCAGGATTTCCCCAGGTTGTACAGGTGGTAGCAGAGAAGGGCTAAGAACCCAGGCTCTTTATCACTCCAAAATGGGGCTATTACTGAGGTGGGGGAAGAGAGGGAGTTAAGGTTGCTTGGGCCATGTGCTGGTTTAGTGGGAGAGCCCGAAGACCCCTTGGCCTTTGGGGATTTGCAAAGAAGTGGACATGCAAAGACCACTAAATTTGGAGACAGAAGACCTCAGTTAGGGGCAGTTAGGTGGCCCCGTAGGTGGAGCTCCGGCCCTGGAGTCAGGAGGACCTGAGTTCAAATGTGGCCTCAGACATTTGACACTTACTAGCTGTGTAACCCTGGGCAAGTCACTTAACCCCATTGCCAAGACCTGAGTTAGAATCTTAGTTTCACTCCTGGGGTAGGACACTGGGCAAGTCCCTTCTATCTCAAGGGTCTCAAATTCCTCACCAACAAAAATGAAGCTCCACGTGCCCACAGACTTCATTCCTCTACCCAGCCCTAGCCCCTAGTACCTGTGTTACTGTGTTCTTAAATGCTTGCTGAATGAATTGAATTAAAATAAGAGGGTTGTTCTTCCTCTAATCATCTATTTTTGTACTTGGCCTTCCCCAAATTAGCGATAATCTTGAGATCAGAGCCTAGGTAGTAGCTATTGTTATCTCCCCAATACTGAGACTGACCAGAGAGAAAGACAGAGAAAAGAGAGAGTGGGCAGTAGTGTTGATCAGACAACAGCAGTGTTGAATACTTGGAGAAACAAAATTATCAATCCTTCCTATTTGGAAATAACTTCAGAAATCATCTAATCCAACCAAGGTCTAATCAGGAGCTCCCTTTGGACCCAGGGGGCCTGGCAGGGAGTTTGGGATTTGAATCCTGGTTCTCCCACCTACTAGCTATGTGCCTCAGTTTCCTCATCTGTAAAAATGGGCAGGGTTGGACTATATGATCTAGGTTTTTCCAGTTTTGAAATTCTGTGATTCATAATTCCAATCAGGCAAGAACTCCACTGACCACCAAGCCGTCGAGAGCACTGAGTTCTTTTTTTTGGGGGGGGAGTTAGTCTCTGCCACTGACTGGCTGGATAACCTTAGGGAAGTCACCACCTGTTTCTGGGTCTCAGTTCCTTCCTCTGTAGGACCGAGGGGATTGGGCAAGGTTACTCTGAGGGCCCTCTCAAATTTTAAAAGTGATTCTTGTTCAGACCTCCAGTCTGACTCCCTGGCTGGTTGGGGTCAGACCACAAGATGGTGCCGTGGGGGAGAACATAGCTGATCCAGTGTGTCTGCAGCTTGGGTTGTTGCTGCATTTCCTGGAGAAGAGGGGGTCCCCTTTGTGGGTGTGTCTGGCAAATCTGAGGAAAGCACTGGGTGTTATCTATAGAGGGAAGGGAGTGCTGGGGGCCAGATGGGAACGGTTTCATTTATGTCGTCGTATTGCTAGTGTCTAACACAGTAGCAGGCTTCATAAATATGGATTGATGGATGGATTGATTGATTAACTGTCTGTGACTAAGGCTGGGTAGTGTTCGTGGAATTCCCTATTGTGTATGTGAGGGGAGGGGGGAAAATACCTGTGTGGAAAGGCTACAGGACCCTTGAGAAAAAGAAGTGGGCATGTGAGAGGGTTACTGGTGAGCCCCTGGTGAAGGAAGGGGAGATGGGGACTCCCCTGCCCCCAGGGAATGGGGAGGGGTCACAGTATTGCTCGGGCTTTCCTGGGGTGACTCTGACGAGCTTCATCTCTGTATGGTGTTTGGTGTTTGACGTTGGCAAGGAGGCAAAAGAGATGCTAAGTGGGGCAGGGGCAGGGGGATATGACAGATGAGGTTGAGGCTCCAGGAAGGAGGAAATCTAAAGCTGGCTGCCAGAGCAAATAACCTCCTTGTTATAGAAAGAGATGCAGGGATTGTTAACATTTTATGAATGCTGTGGGCCCCCTTTTTGTAGTCGGGGGAAGCCCAGGGACCCCTTCTCAGAATAATGGTTTTAAATGCATAAAATAAAATACAAACGATTACAAGGGAAACCAATTTTATTGAAATAGTTATCCAAATATTTCCCCCACAGATCGTAGGTTAAGAAGCCTTGCCTTGGGGTGACTTGGGAAGGCGGGTGCTATTGATGGAAGCCTGGGGCCGGGACGGATAGTGTGGACTCTTCCCCTCCCCCCTCCTTTCTTTCCCTCCCCCCACCCTATTCAGTGGGAGGCAGAAGCCTCATCCCTGCACTGGAGTTGCCCTAATTACTGCCTCTAGCAAAGAGGAAACCTCAATTAGAAAAAAGTATCCTGCTAACAGAGTCTAGCTGGAGTGGGCTGCCAGCCTTCCCAGCCTTCGGCTACAAAGGATGAGGCCCTCTCTTCCCCACCCCCCCTTCTCCTCTCGGCTCCCAGGGGCCCCTCTCTGGCTCTCTCTTTCAATGTCCCTGAGCCCCTGAGCTGTGGGTTGAATGGAGGTGAAGTAGAGAAATGAGTGTGTGTGTGTGTGTGTGTGTGTGTGTGTGTGTGTGTGTGTGTGCACGCGCGCGCGCCCCACCTTGTAGCCAGTCCTCCAGGCCCAGGTAGCAAACACCCATCTGAAATGCTCAAGGATAAAAGGACGGGAGTAGTGGTGACTGGGGAAGGGGCTGGGGGGCGGGGCTGGATTCAAGGGCTCCTGTGTCTTCCAGGTGGATGATGCCATGCTAATGTTTGACAAAACCACCAATCGACACCGAGGTAAGGCCCGACCCCTTCCCCCCCCCCCCCGCCCGGGCCTAGGGTCAGGCCCCCCCACCCTTCCCTGCCGTGGTCATCGGCAGGGGCCTCCAGGTCACAGCTGCCTTTTCATCTCTGCTCCTGACATCCTACCCCTCAGGATCTGCATCCTCTCCCCGTGCCTGCCAGCACAGAGGGCTTTTGTCCGGCCGGTTTCCTGTGCTAGAAACTTTCAAGCGCTTGCAGATACCCGAGGGGGGCAGGCCCTGCTGTTGGACCCCAGCGTGGCTCCAGCCTGTGAGGCTGTGTGGGCCTTAACTTGTCCCTGGTAATCTGAGCCCAGGGACAGGCAGACCCAGGGACAGACTGACTCCACTCCTCCCCTCCAATGACTTACCGGTCTGGATTCACTCTCACCACCTCTGAACCCTTTTGGCAGCTGGGGCTGGGCTTCTCTTTCCCCAGGGACCTTGCTTTCTTAGGAATACCATCAGAGCCACTTTGAGAAGGTCGCTTGAGAAAGGTGCCCAGGCTGGCTGTATTCCAGCCTGATTCCTGGGAGGGGAGAATTTTGGGGAGTGAACAGAGCAGGGTGGGTATTTTCTATACTCAACCCAAAAATAGAAATAGATTGCTTTGAGAAGTAGTGAGTTCCCCATCCCTGGAGGTGAACATTTATTAATCTATTAATATATGCCAGACATGGTGATAAGTACTGGAGATACAAAGAAAGGCAGAACCAACCCTACCCTCAAGAAGCTTAAATTCTAATGGGGGGAGACAGCATTCCAGAGGTAATTTCAGAAGGAAGACACCTTTATTTTTTGGAAAAAGCTTCTTGAAGAAGGTAGGGCTTTTTAATCCAAGGATGGATCCTACTTCTTGGAGGTATTTCTGAGGGGAGCCCTCCCTTCCTTGCTGGGTTTAGATGGCTTCTGGGGCCCTTTCTAAGTCTGTGATAATAGTGAGAGTAAAATCCACAAGATGAGATGTGTGGTTTTAGTCTTTTTTTCTTTTTAAATTTTTCCAGCTCTGTCACTTTCCAGCCCAAAACACGCCTCCATCTTTGGCCAACACTTTTCCCTCTATATTGTCTTCCCCCAATTTTCCCCCAAAGCCCAGGAGTCTCGGGTTTGGTTCCTGCTTTGGTCCCGGCAAGATACTGGAGAAGCAGTCAATCAGCATAGTGCTGCATTAGAAGGGTCTGCCTTGCTTTCTGTATTTCTGTTCCTAACCCTTAACACGGGACTTGGGACATAGTATTTAGTAAATGCTTTTCCATTTGTTCATTCATTCATTCATTCATTCATTTTTTTTTTGTATTGAGGCTTTAGAACACGCCGGTCAGGTTGTTACTCTGCTGACATCCTGGCTATCCTGAGTCTATACCCACTTTCTCTGGATGTTGGCTCTGACCTTAGTCTCACCCCCTGGGCCTGGGGGTCTCTCCTCCCTTCTAGGGTTTGGGTTTGTCACATTTGAGAGTGAGGACATCGTGGAGAAAGTCTGTGAGATTCACTTCCATGAGATCAACAACAAGATGGTAAGTTGACTTGGGGGTGGGAGGGGTGGGAGCTACCAGGAGCCCTTCTTCTGAAAGAACACTCACTCCGGAAGCACCAGAGGGTCAGAACAGGGACAAGGGCCCAGCCACACTTGGGGCCAAAACTTTAGAGACATAGAAAGTCCTTATAGGTCTCAGATCCAAGTCTTGACCTTCGTATGAAGGAACAGGGTTTGAGGAGCTGTAGGGGTGGTGGTATTATGTGATAGGAAGAGAATTCCATTAGCCAAAGTAAGAGGTAGCCCTTGAGGTCAGTGGTGGGAAGTAGAGCCCACAGAGAAATGGGGGTTCCAAGCGTTGGGAGAGAAGACTGAGTTTCTCATTACAGGTAGAATGTAAGAAAGCCCAGCCAAAGGAGGTGATGTCGCCTACAGGATCTGCCAGGGGGAGGTCCCGGGTCATGCCCTATGGGATGGATGCTTTTATGCTGGGCATTGGCATGTTGGGTAAGTATATAAATTTATTTAAATTTTACTTACAAATTATGTAAATTTAATTCTTCCCTGAATTCCGGGTGGGAAGAGGTTTGGAGGGGATTTCATGAGATCAGAGGGTTTGGAGCTGGAGAGGCATCTCCAGGACCATCAGGTCAGGCACCTCATTTGATTGACACGGGGAGTATACTGAGATCCAGAGAGGGTATGTGACTTGTTTAAGGTTACACAGGCAGGTGACAGTGGGGATTTGAACCCAAGTATCATGGCTACAGATCCAGAGTTCTTTCCTCTACACCCCAGTTCCTTTCCCCAGAAGCTGCCAGGGTCTAACCTGGAGCTCAGTCGCCTCCCCCTTTCCATCATGCATTAGGGTAAGAGCAGCCAGCAGCCAGTTAATGTTGCTGGAGCAGCTGCTAGATGGTCTTCTGGAGGGTAGGGCCAGTGCTGCCCTCTGCTGGTCATCTTAAGAGCTGCAGTCCAATCCACCTGTTCCCTCTTCATTGTGAGGGTTCTATCGGGAAGAGAATTGCCCCTTCTCTGGTGGAGCCCCAGGTTTGGGGAATAGGACCAGCCCTATTCACGGCTTTCCTTTCCTAGGAGAGAGTCCAGCACAATTGCTTGACTCAAGAGCCCAGGATTCCTGGGTTTGGTGTCTGCTTTGGTCCTGTCAAGACCCTGGAGAAGCAATAGGTCAATCAGCAAGCATTTCATGTGTGCTAGGGTCTGGGGATGCAAAGATAATCAGCATGTATTAACTAAATACCTACTATGTGCCAGGCACTGTGCTAGACGCTGAGGATACCAAAAACCCAAGCCACTGGCATTTATTAAGCACCTACTATGTGCAAGGGACTAGGCTAGGGCCAAGGATACAGAGCCAATCCACTAGCATTTATTAAGCACCTACTATGTGCAAGGGACTAGGCTTGGATCAAAGATACAAGACCAATCCACTAGCATTTATTAAGCACTTACTATATGCAAGGGACTGGGCTTGGATCAAAGATACAAGACCAATCCACTAGCATTTATTAAGCGCCTACTATGTGCAAGGGACTGGGCTTGGATCAAAGATACAAGACCAATCCACTAGCATTTATTAAGCACCTACTATGTGCAAGAGACTGGGTTAGGGCAGAGGATAGGAGTACCTTCCTTCCTAGTCACAAAAGAGCTTTCTTGTAGTAGAGCGCACTCTGATGAAAAGAAAGTGATGGACTTGAGTTAGGAGAAATCTGGATTTGAATTTGGATCCTGGCCCTTGCACTTCCTGCTGCTGGGCCTTGGTTTTCTCATCTGTAAAATGGGGCTGATGATACTCATGCTGCCTACCTCACAGAGTTGTTTTCAGGGAAAAGCATTCCCTAAGCCTTCAAGTGTCAGAAAGACGTGAATGCTTATTATCCCAGGTGTGTTACTGGACCTGAGTCATGGAATCACAAAATCATAAAATAAAGGCAGAGACCTTGGGAATCACCAAGTCTAACTGCTTATGTTACAGACGAGGTTCTTGAGGCTAAAAAGAGGCACAGGATCATAGAATTAGAGCTGGGATGGTCTAGACAAACCCACTCATTTTACAGATAGGAAACTGAGGGAGGCTCAGGGAGTGATTGAAGAGCACCCCCCATTCCCAGCCCCTACTCTACTACCTTAACCAGAAAACCAGGAGGGAAGAAGAGTTGGCCACTTGTCTGGAAGAAATCATTTCCAAGATTAGAGGCTGAGGCCAGCTCACCCCAGGATCTGCAGAAAAAGGGAGTGGAGGCAGCTGGGGTCTCCTAATCCCAACATTTCCATTAAATTACAAAAAGCAGCTGTGGTATTGACCCTTGAAATAGTCCTCTGAATATTAAACAGAAAAGGATAGTGGGAGAGTGACTTTTCCAGGGAGCAATTATCTGTTGAATATTTTTAAAAAGCTGATTGGAATCCCAGCTCCTCAAACTACCTATGTGACCTCCAGTAAGTCACTTAGCTTCCTTCTGCCTCAGTTTCCTCATCTGTAAAATGAGTGGGTTGGACTAGATGGCCACTGGGGTCCTTCCAGCTCTAAATCTATGGTCCTAAGTCATTTACTATCCCTGGGCCTCAGTCTCTTCATCTGTAAAATCAGGAGATTGGCCTGGAGGGCTTCTAAGATCCCTCTCAGCTCTCCCTTTGTGATCTTATGAATTCTCCTTCTCCACCATCTTCTGGAGGAAGGAGAAACAAATTGGATAACAGATACAAAGCATTTTACAAACCTTGGAGTGCTATATAAAGGTTGCCTGCTCATTTCAGTCACGTTGGACTCTCCATGAGCCCATTGGGGGTTTTTTTGGCAGAGAGATGTTGGAGTGATTTGCCATTCCTTCTCCAGCTCATTTTACAGAAGAGGAAACCAAGGCAAACCAGGTGAAGTGATTTGCCCAAGGTCACCCAGCCAGTAAGTGTCTGAGGTCAGATTTGAACTCAGGAAGAGAAGTCTTCTGGACTCCAGGCCCAGCACTCTATCCACTATGTCAATTAGCTTCCTCTATATAAATGTTAGTTATTATTAATTATTACTATCATCATAATTATTATTAATTAACCATTGAAAAATTAATGCAGATTATGCAAGGAATATACAACACATTATTTCAGGCTTCAAAGGTGACTCAGTGGATAGAGTGCTGGAGCTGGAGTAAGGAAGACCTGAGTTCAAAGCCTGTGTGATCCTGGGCAAGTCACTTGCCCTTTATGTCTCTCTGTTTCCTCATCTGTAAAATGGAGCTAATAATATCTTCTACCTCCCAGTATCAAATGAGACAATATAATATCCTAGGTAATAAGACATGACCTGGTAGCTAGAATTATACATCAGAAACTCACTGTCTTTCATAAGATAATAAAATACAAATTACCATCCCACACAAATATGACCGTTATCACAGAAAGCACTATACCTTTGACCATATAAAGTTGATCTATGACGTTATTGTTGTTGATGGGCTGCTAGATGGCGCCATAGTGCATAGAGCGCTGGGCCTAGAGCCAAGAAGACTCATCTTCCTGAGTTCAAATCTGGCCTCAGACACTTACTAGCTGTGTGACCCTGGGCAAGTCTTCCCTTTAGCCAGGAGCCCATGTGTGGGTGGAGTCCTTGCTCCAAGGGCTCAGAAGCATCCCTTCTTCATATAGGCTGCCCTAGTCAGACCACGTTTGGAGCCTTGTGCTCAGGTCTGAATATTCTAATTTTTATGAAAGACATCATTAAGCTAGAGTGTCCAAGGAGGGAGGCCCCCAGCATGGTTCTCTGTGTGTGAGGATGCGTTGGGGAAAGGAATATTCAGAGGTGGAGGCAACATCCCATTTGTCTGTAAGTGTCCTGAGAAGATGGATTAGTTTGGCCCCAGAGGGCAGAAACAATGGGCAATTTTGGTTTGATAAAAGGAAAACTTCCTTACGGTTAGAGGTAGCCCTAAATGGAATGAGGATGTGGTCCCTTCTTCAAGGTCTTAGGAAGTAGTGGATTCCTCTTCTCTCAAGATCCCACCACTAGAGAGTCAGGTATATGGCTTGGACTACATAATCTCTGAGATCTCGTCTCCTACTCAGAGATTCTGTGATGCTGTTTCCGCTCCTTGGGCTGGGCCTGGGTAGCTCAGATCTAGCAATGAGTGGACTCTGCTGGGCTATGGAGGGGCTGATCTAGCCTGATTTACCTGCAGGTTATCCAGGTTTCCAAGCTGCAACCTACGCCAGCCGGAGTTACACGGGCATTGCACCTGGCTATACCTACCAGTTCCCTGGTAAGTCCCACTTGGCAACCCTTCTGCCCTCTACCAGCATGTCCCAGCTGCCTTGCTCAGGTTAACTCCCCCTCCATCCCCCAGGGTAGGGTGGCTTGGATGGATTATAAGGGGTGCATGGTTTGGGGACCTACTTGTTGGGGACTTGATAGGAAGAGTATATCTGAGGAAGGACACCCCTGTCTTCCATTGGGGTAAGAAGGTCCCTTGGGTTGGGATGCTAGGGGTGGTGGTGACCCTGCATGGTGCCCCTGCATCCTGGTCTTATGTATTCAGGGTTGCCACCTCCCCCAAAGCAGGACATTGGACCTAGAGCTGGAATATATTAAGAACAAATTTGTAAACTCCACTTCACCATTCATCTCCTTTGGTTCCTTCCCCCAAGACGGAGGGGACAGTAACTATTCATTCCTGAGCTGTTGGCCCTAGACATGTTCAGCTGATTCTTCCCTCACTGAAGGCCAGTGAGATCCTCAGCTTAGGGTATTGAAATCTATACTATGTCCTGGGGGCAGGTGGCAACTCTGTGCTCATCTCTGGTTCTCTCAGTCTCTTTTCTTCTCCCTTACCTGCCTCAGGGCAGTCTTCCCCTGCCTAGGCTTCTGGACACTGTGCATGGACTGGTCTTGCTGTTGTGAATGTCCTTGTGTGTGTCTCTGCCGGGCCCTGCCCCAAGGGCCGCTCCACCTTCCTAAGTTGTTTTGTACATTTCCTTTTAGAATTCCGTGTAGAGCGGACCCCTCTCCCGAGCGCCCCCGTCCTCCCTGAGCTCACAGGTCAGTCCCTTGGATTTCCTACACCTCACAGGCTGGATGGGGAGAGAGAAAGGAACCCAGGGACCATTGCAGGGGCAATGAGACCGACCTTATCTACTTGACCCAATAGTATCTGAGTGGGGAAGAGCACTCCCCTCCCCCACTCCACTCCAACCCCTAGTATAACAGACACTACCCAGAAGCAAAAGAACAGATAGTCCCCAAAAGTGAGTCAGCCTGTGGAAAGTATCCAGCTTTTCTCCAAGGAAAAACATTGGATTTACTATATGCAGATCCTAGCTTTGTAGGGATAGGGTCAGTCCCCGTTAGAAAGGGCAGGTAATGGGAATTTAAGATTTTTAAATCTCATTACTCCACCTTGAGCATTGTAAGCAGAAAACCTTGGGACTTTATCCCTACCCTAGAGATCTGGGAGGTAAGGAGAGCCAGGAAGGGGTGTGTGTGTGTGTGTGTGTGTGTGTGTGTGTGTGTGTGTGTGTATGTATGTATGTCCAGGGCTAGATAGAATTCAAGTGATTTCCCTGCTCCATCTATGTCCCTACCCATCCTCTTACCCCACAAAGCTCTAGTCCCCTAGAACCTGGCCCTGTGTGAAGCTTGTGCGTGTGGCTGCTGCTTTGAGATGAGACCTTTCTTCCACAGCTGGATTCTTCCAGGCTTTGGGGTCAGCAGGGCACCTAAGCAAAGTAGCATCTAAAAAAAAGTGGATGGTGAGGGGAAAAGAGAAGTATGAAGGTGAGGAATGAGGAGCAGAGGGACCAAGTGAACAGAACCTTCCCCTTCTAGAATCAGAACACAGCCCTGTTTGGGTTGGCAGTGAAGCACCCCAAGGGGAGTCTGAATGTCGCCTAGTTGTGGTCTTTGGTGGTATTCCCTGCTTTTCCATCACAGGGAAGGCATAATGGTAGTTTATTGAAAGAAGTCATTGTCATTTCAAGGGACTGTCTCCTAAGCCACTGATTTTTCAGACTGTGTTCTACAAAGAAATTATGGCTGGTGCTTTTACTCATTCCCTCCCCCACCAACCAAAAAAAAAAAGATCCTTGAGAAGACGCCAGTAACTTTTGACCCATAATGTCTGCCTTCTCACCTTTAGAAAAATTCTGTGGTCTATGTGACATGTAGGAGGCATCCTTGATGAAGATAAGAGTCAGAGACACAGGGACAGACAAGTTTTCACAGGTGATTTCCTTCCAAAGACCACATCTTTTTTTTTTGTCGTTTTTTGGCTAGGCAGTGGGGTTAAGTGACTTGCCCAGGGTCACACCGCTAGTAAATGTCAAGTGTCTGAGGCCAGATTTGAACTCAGGTCCTCCTGACTCCAGGGCACTCCCAAAGACCACATCTTTAAAGTCATATGATTGACCAAAAGATATAGAAAGCAAGATCCCTCTCGTGTCATTTATTTTTGTGATGGGATTTCAATAGTGTAGGAAACTCAACTGATGCAAATTAGCAACTGCTGTACAGTTGATAGTCTTTGAGAGTGCACCCTTTGAGGCTAGCTAATTTACTGAAGGTCACCTCGCCAGTCCGTGTCAGCGGTAGGACCTGAACCCAGGTCTTCATGATTCCGAGGCACTCTTGATCTACACAGCCACACTGTTGCTCACACTGTCTATTGTTTATTGGTTTTTAAAGAAGGATGTAATTCACTAGAACAAAATGTAGGCTCTTCAGGCAAGATTCTAAGACAGAGGCAACTATGAAGTTAACTTTGTTCCTTAACCCACTAGGTGTTAACATCAGTCAAGGCATAAAACAGATACGGCCACCTAAAGTGTTTACCAGTGTCGTGGAAGATGTCCTGCATAGAGCCCAGATGAAATCCTTGTTCCCTAAGACTCTAAGGGGATCTAGGTGGTGAATGGACAGAGCACTAGCCTTGTAGCCAGAAAGACTCATCTTCCTGTGTTCAAATCCAGCCTCAGACACTTAGTAGCTATATGACCCTGGGCAAATCACTTAACCCTCTTTGCCTCAGTTTCCTCATCTGTACAATGAGTTGGAGAAGGAAATGGCATACCACTCTAGTATCTCTGTCAAGAAAATCCCAAATGGGGTCATGAAGAGTTGGTCACGACTGAAAAATGACTGAACAGGAAAAAAAAGACAGTAAATACTTCTATTTGTAGTTGACATTGTACTAACCCTACAAGTGGACGAAATTCATTGATCTAGCCATACACATAGGAAAAACAAAGTAGAAGAAAAACATTTTTTTTTCTTGTCCTGGTGTGCAAGTGAACGGGCAGTCCCTCAAACCTTAGTCCATCAACCTGAATGATAAGGACAGGCACTTTGAGAGGGACAGTGAATTGAGAGCCCAGATATGATTAGGAGGAAGGGTAGATTAAATCACTTCGGGGAAACTGCCTGGTATTTTCACTGATCCTCAGCTTCTCACTGCAGCAAAAGCCTATCTCTTTAACACTCATCTTCTGATGCTGAAGTACTTACTGTCTAGCTCTAAATCTGATCCATGAGTCAAAATTACAGGCCACCCAAAGTGCTTTGGGAAAACACATGGTGGCTATAATTAGGTGGCAGGGAGTTAGCCATGAAGACTAGCTCATAAGAAGGTACTGTGAGAGAGATCCTCGCTCTCATGGAAGGTGTGTGCTATTGGAAAAAGGAATTTGGCCAGGTAGGTGTCTAATTCAATTGAGCAGACATTTATTAAATGTCCAGTATGTCCAAGACCTTAGGGGAAGTGGTTACAAAGACAGGAGAAGACAAGGGATGGATCATTCAATTAGTATTCCAGCACCGCCAAGCTATTGGAAGAACCAAAAGAAGACCTTGGGCCCATTGGGTGAATGCAGGATGAAGGATTTGTAGAAAGACCGGAAAGAACATCCCATAAGATGAGAAGGCATGAAAGAGAAGTGACTGGCGTTACAAAGGAATGAATGAATACCCACTCTGAGCAAACTCGACCAAGCTCTGTGTGTACGCCACCCTCCCCAGAGCCTGAACCGGCTGGGTTTGAAAAACCTTGTACATGAGTATGCCTGGAAGCAGAGGCCAATGGCCTGAGTGTTGGGCCTATCTCATAGCAGCGGTCAGTCAATGAGGTAACAAGCATTGGTTAAGTGCTTACTAAGTGCCCGGGCACATGGTAGGTGCTTAATGAATGTTTGTTGAAATAATAAGTGAGCGAATGCTAAACACTAGAGATACAAAGAAAGGCCCCAAAATGGCCCCTTCCCCAAGGAGCTTGAGGTCTAAAGGGGGAGATGACATGAAAACAACAGAGGAGGTAGAAGGGCCTGTAGGAGGTGAGATTTGAGTTGAGTCTTGCCAGAAGCTAAGGGGCAGAGGTGAGGAGGGCAAGAATCCCAGACATGGGAGATAGTCAGTGAATGCCAAGGCAAAGAAATGGGAGATAGGAGTGTCCTAATCGAGGAACAGAGAGAGGGCCTGAGGAGGTGGATGGGAGAGCAGGTAAAAGGAAGATAGAATACAAAACCTGGAAAGGTCAGAGGGGGCCAAGTTATAGAGCTTTACATGCCAATCAGAGGAGTTACATTTCAGCTGGATATAACAGGGAGCCAGAGGCGGCCCTTGAGGAAGGGTGTAAACTTAGCTTGGAAAAAAAAATCACCTTGGCAGCTGAGTGGAGAATGGATTGAAGCGGGGAGAAACTGGAGGCAAGGAGACCTAATAAAAGACTATTGATTAGTTCAGGTGAAAGAAGACTAGTGCTTAAACCAAAGTGGTGGCTGTGTGAGTCGAGCAATGAGATATAGGAGAGATGTTATGAAAGCAGAAATGACAAGATATAACAGTATACTGGATATGTGGCAGGTAGGTGGTATGGTGGATAGAGGAATAGACTGAGGAGTCAGGATGATCTGAGTTCAAATCCTGCCTGAAATACTAGCTGTGTGGCAAGTGACTAGTGGCCCTGGGAAAGTCACTTAACTTCTATTTGCCTCAATTTCCTCCTCAGTAAAATGGGGGTGATAATAATAGCACCTACATTCCAGGACAGTTGTGAGAAGCAAATGAGATAATGTCCTCTATATACTACATGCAAATGTGTAATATATGTATATTTGTACTTTGCATACTACATGCAAATTATATGCAAAGCTATAGAAATACAATCTTATTATTATCAGCCATTGAGCTGATAATTGAATCCACGGAAGCTCATCAGACCACCAAATGAAGAAATGCAGAGAGAGAAGAGAAGAGGTCCCAGCACAGAGCTGAGGTGACCTCTGCCTGCCTCCATGAGCTGAAGGAAGAACCAGCAAAGGAGACCGAGAAGGAGCCTCAGGTCAACTGATGGGAAAAGAAACAGGAGAAAGTAGAATCACCAGAACCTGGAGAGGAGAGAGCGTCTTGGAAAAGGTGATCTGCATTGTCAGAGGCTGCGCAGGTCAAGAACGAGGAGGATGGAGAAGAGATCTTTTGGTCTGGCAATAAAGAGGTCCTGAGTAACTTGGGAGAGGGTAGCTGCAGTTGAACAATGAGGCCAGTAGCCAAACCACAAAGGGTTTGGGACAGAATGAGAGGGGCCACAGCTAGGCACAATAGATGGAGCACCAGCCTTGCAGTCAGGAGTTATCTGAGTTCAAATGTGGCCTCAGATGTTGACTAGCTATATGACCCTGGGCAAGTCACTTAAAAAAAAGAATGAGAGAGGAAGTGGAGGCACAGACCTAGGGTTAGATGGCTTTCTCCAAGGGTTTAGGCACAAAAAGGAGGAGAGATAGATGACAATAGCTAGCACTGATCAAGTTGAGGGTTTTCTAAGGATGGGAAGATGTGAGTAGGTTTGTAGGTGACAGGGAAGAAGTCAGTATACTAGGAAAGAGACAGGAAGACCTGAGTTTGAACCCCACCTCTGACACTCCCAGGCACGTTAGCAGTCATTGAGCCAGCGGATAGAGTGCTGGATCTCTGCATCTCAGAAAGACCCCTGAGTTCAAATCTTACTGCAGACACTAGCTGTGTGACCCTGGGGAAACCGCTTACCTCTGCCTGCCTCAGTTTCCTCATCTGTAAAATGGGGGTCATCATAGGTACTTGTAATGCCCTTTAGGGTTAGAATCGGAGGCTTGCTGTGAGGGTCCAATGAGGCAGATGTATAAGCATCTGTATGCGTGCCAGTTATCATTAGAAGTGGCAGCTGGGACTGGAAGAGGCACAAAGTTGTACCACACCCTGCCGAGGATGTACCCCATTCAACATGGGAGTTATCATTGCCATGACGGCTCATGCAGTGTGGTATGGTTAGAAGCTGCAGTGGGCAGGCTTGGGCAGTAGAGGGCGTTTGTGCCTCAGTCAAGGCTGGGCAGCCCCCAGGCTCAAGCCAGGGGGTGGCTTTCTCTTAGGATCCTAGGTCCAGAGCAGGGATGGAGGTTTAACACACACACACACACACACACACACACCCATTTTACAGATGAAGAAACTGAGGCTCAGAAAGCTTCCATGACTTGCCTGTGGTCCCACATGCAGTAAGTGGCAGAGTGAACCTGGTTCCTGTGGTCCCAGATCCAAATGAGATAACATGTGTAAAAACACTTGGTACGGTGCCTGGATGTACTAGGTGCTATATAAATACATATGTCCCTTCCCCCGGTACCATGTTATTCCCAGAGGAAAAATTAAAATCCGAGGTTCAAACCATTCATCCAAAACCTATTTATGTAATGTACTTATTATTAATATTTATTTTAATTAACTAACATTTATGTATCATTACTATATTTATAGAACACCTACTGTGCATAAGGCACTATGCCCCGCCCTTCACCGGGTGCCCTAGGGAATATAGAAAAGTTCAGGTATTTCTCAGTTGGGCAGGGGTCAGACTAGGGTGGCAGCGCTAAGGCCAGGCTGACCATTAAAAAGAATCTAGCACAACCGCCATCACTTTACGGATAAGGAAACTGAGTCGCAGGGAGGTGGTGACTTGCGCAGGTACCTGCAGGTAGCCAGTGACAGAGTGTGGGATCAGGAGCCATACCCTCTCACTCCAAATCCAGTGTTCTTTCCATTCTACCCTACTGTCTTCCCCGATGACCTCCTAGGTCCCTTCCAGCTCTGAGGGTCTGTGAATTAAAAGACACAGGCCTGCCCTCGAGCAGCTTACAGTCTAGTTAAGCCCACGGAAAACCGTTAGGGCAGGACTCGGTATATGCAGCATAGGAATCATACAGCACCAGGGGAGTTATAGGGGAGCACCTGAAGAGAACAAGCACTTATTAAGCACTTACTGTATACCAGGCACTGTGCTGACTACTTTACAAATGTCATCTCATTTGGTCCTTACAACAACCCTAGGAGGTAGGTGGCATTATTATCCCCATTTTACAGTTGAGGAAACTGAGGCCAAAGATGGGTAAGTGACTTGTCCAGGGTCACACAGCTAGTAAGTGCCCAAGACAGAATTTGAACTCAGCTCTTCCTGACTCTCTCCACTGCACCACTTAGCTACCATAGAGGAAGGGGAGAGAGGTTACTGGGCTAGGGTGACCATGGCAGGCTTCTTGGAGGTGGTGAGATGTCAGCTGGGCAGGACTAGTAAAAGATGCAGTGGAGAGATCACCTGCCTTCAGCCCCTCTTTAGGGGCTTCAGTGATGCCTCTTCCCCACTCTGGAAGAAGGATGGAGACTCCTCTCTGGGAGCAGAGATGGCCTCGGGCCCGTTCTTCCCTACGACCCCTTCCAGTGTCGACTGTGGGGCTTCTCTCTTTCCCTCCACCATCTGGCTGCTCCTTCTGTTTCTGCTCTTCCCCAGGGAGGGCCTGGGCAGCTGCCCAGTACCCTGCCGGGACAGGGACTAAGTTTCGTGGGTCTGTGGAGGGGGGATGTCCTGTGGAAGAAGAGCGGTCTGAGGGACTGGTGTCTTTTCTTTCAGCTATCCCGCTCACCGCTTACGGACCGATGGCCGCCGCAGCCGCAGCAGCCGCTGTTGTGCGAGGGACAGGTGAGACCAACTTTGGGTGTAGGGGATGAGTGAATGAATGAATGAATGAATGAATGAATGAATGAAGCATGTATTAAGCGCTTACTGTATGCAGTGCACTGTGCTAACTGCTAGGGATATAAAAAGGGAAAAAGAGAGGTGTAGTCCTCTCTTGGGGAGGCGGGGAGGTGTTTTCCTTCCCACTCTCGGGAGGCACAGAGGCATTAATCCCATTGACTTGCTGTGGGTTGGGTCTGGGGCCCACCTCTCCTCTGGGAGAAGTGGGCGGTGGGCAGGCGTGGTGTGTTGGGGAAGGGGCTAGCCTGTCGGGCTCTTTTCTCTGGGTTGCCAGGATCTCACCCCTGGGTGCTGGCTCCCCCTCCAGGTTCGACACCGAGCCGTACGGGGGGCTTCCTGGGCACCACGAGTCCCGGCCCCATGGCCGAGCTCTATGGGGCAGCCAACCAGGATTCTGGGGTCAGCAGTTACATCAGCGCCGCCAGCCCTGCCCCCAGCACTGGCTTTGGCCACAGCCTTGGGGTGAGTAGTCTGACCTGGCTTCTAGTTTCCCATAATGTTATTGGGGGCTCTGGGGAGTGGGACCCCACTTGAATTGAATGGAAAAGGGGGAACCCCATGGTCAAGAACAGAAAGGACTGGGAATTCAATAAGGTTAGGTCATGCTCTTTGGGGGAGGCAATACCTTTGATACCCTATTGGTTGTGTTGAGTTGTTTTTCCTCATTGCCTATTACTAGGGTAGGAGGCAGGGGAGTCTTTGGGAAGGGATATAGAGTACAAAAAAGAGAGTAATGAAACATCTCCCCTCTACTCCCCCTAAAAAAAGGAGAAAAAAGAAATTAATCTTATTAATGAAGTGGTGTCCCAGGAAAGGGGTATCCTGGGATATTCTTATCTAACTTTCTCAGTCTGTTGAATTTGGGATTTTGGATTCCTCTTTTAGGGTCCCTTGATTGCAACAGCCTTCACCAATGGGTACCACTGAGTCAGGGGATCAAGGAGGCAGGAGGTAAGAAACCTGTGAAGAGACATGGAGTCGGGGAGGGGAGTCAGGGTAAAGGAATAGGGCCTGGGAAAGGAGCAGGGGGAGGCCCAGAGATGTGGAGAGTGTCATGCATGCTTCATGGCATCTCTTTCTAATATTTCTCCATCTAACTTGAAGTTATTGATTCCTGTTCAGAGGATGTTTGGGGGGAGGGAGATGAAATGGGGAGGATGGTGGAATGCAAAGACCTTTGGATCTTGAACCAGATTAGGTTCTGATCACAAGAGTATCCATTGGGAGCTGGAAGGAAACCCAAAGTCCATTTTGTTTTATTTTATTTTTTTAGGTCTTTAAAAAATTTTTTATTAATTTATTTTGATTTATCAACAATCACTTCCATATGCTTTTGAGTTGAAAAATTTTCTCCCCTTTCCTCCCCCCACCCTCCCCAAGACGGTGCACAATCTTGATATAGGCTTTACATTTACATTCCCATTAAACATATTTTCACGTTAGTGAAGTTGTAAGTAAAAATTAAAACCAACAGGAGGAACCCTCAGAAAGATGAAACAAAACTCAACAGAAGGTAAAAATAAGTGATAGCGATTCGACTTCCATAGTTCTTTCTTTGGATGTGGACAGCATTTAACATCCCGAGGACTCTGGAGATGTCTTTGATCCTTGTAATGCTGAGAAGGGTTCAGTTTAACAATATTAGTCATTGCATAACGTGGCTGTTATTGTGTACAAAGTCCTCTTGGTTCTTCTCACTTCACACAGCATCAGACCATATACGTCTTCCCAGGTTTTTCTGAAGTCAGCCTGTTCATCATTTCTTATAGCACAATAGGATTCCATTACATTCATATACCACCACTTGCTCGGCCATTCCCCAATGGATGGGCATCCTCTCAATTTCCAATTCTTTGCCACCACAAAAAGAGCTGCTATGAATATTTTTGTACATGTGGGTCCTTTTCCCATTTGCCAAAGTCCATTTTACAGAGGAGAAAGCTGAGGCAGACAGTGCTCAGAGTCACATGGCTGGTAAATGAGGTAGAATTTGAACTCAGGTCTTCCTGACTCCCAAGTCCCTGAGCCATCTAGCTCTGTGTGTCCATGGGCAAGTGGCCTCCTGTCTGGGCTTTTGTTCCCTTTTGTAAAAGGAGGAGGGTGGGTCAGATTCTCTCCCCCTCCTTTCAACTCTCAGAGATCACGTGCCCTAGGGGATAGAGGGCTGGTCTTGGAGCCTGGGTTCAAATCCTGACTGAGATTAGCTGTTGGGAGTCACCTCTCTGAGCCTCAGTTTCTTCATCTGTCAACTGGGGACAATAAAACCTTGTCTCCTAGGGTTGAGGTTCAGGTGATCTTATATATGTGAAGCCTTTTGCAGACTTCAAATCACTAAATCAATAAGCACTTTTATTTTACAGATTAAAAAAAGGAAAAGTTATGGATCAGGGCCAGTTGATTCGCCCAAAGTCGTACAAGCTAGTTATCGCCAGAACAGGGAGCGCAACTAAAGGCTGCTCGTGGGGAAAGATCGGAGGGCTGGAGGATAAAAATGTGGGGGAAAAAGAGAAAGGTGTGGATCATCTCAGAGCCATAGCTGATCATTTGGACACCAGAGGCAGAGAACGCCGTTCAGCATTATAAATCCTGGTGTGAACATATCATGCCAGAAGCAATTAAGATAAATTGAGTCGTGCCTGAGGTATTATGTTCCTGTAGCTATTTCTAGGCTTTACATCCGATAAATTTCAGTACTGCGGCACAGAGGCCCATCACCCTGGATAGTCTAGGACCTCGAATTCAGGGGCTACAAAGAACAGGCTAAGGAACTTGTTGCTATTCCGAGAAGAGGGGACTGTGCCCCAAGAAAGGAGGGTAGGAAAAGGCTGTGGGTTGGAGAGACGCCATTGAGGAGTTGGGGTGTAACTGGCTCTCCTTTCTCCATTCTCTTGTTGAAATCTTCCAGAGCCCTCATCGGCAGCTGCCTGAGGACAGTGAGCTCGGACCTGCCCAGCCAAAGGGGAAAGGGGAAGGAGGCTCGGCCCATCACCCCATCCCCTTGCCAAGCTGCACACTGCCTGCAGGCTGTCAGGCTCCCCGCCTGCCCCACCCCGCTCCCTCCTCCCCCTCTGCCTCCCAGCCCACCCCAGTGACATCATCTCACTGCCCTTACTAACCTCCCCCCCTCCCTTTGCCAACCCTCGGCTTCTATTTATTTTGGAGTAGATGGTAGCCTCCTGGTTTTCTCCCATTGGGTTTGCGCCCCTTTCCTTCCCTTCTCTTCGCCCCATCGTGTAGGTCTCCTGAAATGGCTCACGTGCTTGTGTTTAGCTAGGATGATGGCGGGGAGATGTGTGGGGACCCATGCCTCCCCCCTCCCCGACTTTGTTTTATTGTTTTGTTTTTTAATTCTGATCTCTTTCTTTCCTTTTGTCTTTTTCTTTTTTTTTTTGACCCCCCCAAAAAAAAAGAGAGAGAGAGAGAGAGAGAAGAGAGAGAGAGAGAGAGAGAGAGAGAGAGAGAGAGAGAGGAAGAGAGAGAGAGAAACATTTTTAAACTGTTTCTTGGTTTGTGAATGTGAAGCTCCGGGCTGCAGGGTGGGGGGCCAAGGGGCCCCACACCCGACGAGAGAACAAGTGTATATTTTGGTCTGTGGCAGCCCAGGCTCTGGCCGAGCAGGGCTGGGCTGTGGAGTCAGGTGAAGCCCTGGAGATGTCCGTCTCCTGTATGATATTGTAAATACTATGAGGTGAAGCCCTCCCCTCCCCACCCACCCCTCTCCGTATTCCTTGCCAGGGTGGGGGAGGGGGCCTCACCTCACCCCACTCAGCGGGCCCCTCTGTGAACCCCCTCCCCACATGGTTACTGTAAGATTTTTGTTAGGGCCTCCACTTGGACTGGGAAAGGAAGGTACCCTCTCTCTCACCCTGGAGCTCAGGGGGAGTCCTATGGGCTACCCATTCCCCACCCCTGCCCCAAGCCCCAACTTTGGATGGAAGGGAGGGGGAGCTTCCCACATTTGAAAGGAATTAACTCTCCAAAGGGCCTTCCCCCACCCTCAACCCCTCAATAGGCTGGACCCTCATGTTTCCTGCCCTGGGCTCACTGTGGGGAGGTGGGTGTTGGAAGGGGTATGGGTGGGTGACTCCAGGGCAAGCAAAGGGCTTCTCAGGGATCCCCCACATTCTTTCACAGCAGCCTCCCACCTGGACAGGCCGCGTGGCCATTCTCCCCAAGGTCATGGTCGGAGCCCCTTGGCAGCCCTGTGGGCCTTCCCCACCCCCCAACTCCCTCTCTGCCCTGGTGCCCACTCCAGCACCTCAACCAGGGAGGTGGATTTAGGGTCTAGATTTCTGTGAACCAAAGACCTGACTGGGGTGTGAGGATAGAGGCTTAATTAACTGTTGCTCCCTCCCCCACCCCAACTCCCACCCCAGGGAGGTTGGACAGGTCCAAGGCTAGGGGTGTCCCATGTACCCCTACCCCCACCAAGCATTCCCCAACTACCTTTGGAGAGTTCATTATCAGTGTGAGGTGCTTAACCTGTTAGTGCTGAGAACACAAAGCAATAATCTTTGTTACTGAGACGCGCGGCTGTATGTCTTTTTTTTAAAAAAGAATATTTCCTAATAAAAGAGAAGCTACATTTTATTGGTTTTTATTTTTGATTTTCTACACGTCTGAGGGGAGCCCCTGAGTGGTTCTACCTCCCCCCTCCCCATCCTTCCCTACCCCTCCCCGCCCTCTTTGTTCCCCTCTCCTCATTAGGGCTTGGGGCTGGGGCCGGAACTCTGTTCTATGACTCATTCCTGGTTTTTTTAAAGATGTTAAGTGGTGTTTTGAAACCAGTAAATTTACCACTCTCTGGTATCTGTTCTCTCCACATCTGTAACCCTCTTTCCAAGATTTTTCAGTTTTAAATTCCTAATAAATTATTTGAAAATGGTGGTGTTCTGTGGTTGTGATTCTTCTGTGTGACTTGGATTGAGAGAGGGGCTCCTCAGGGATCACCTGCTCTTCCTTGCTCTATCTCCTTAACGAACTTGCCTTGAATACAGAGAGGACCCAAAAGCCTTAGGGCTGAGAATCACTCTTGGGTCACTCTCTGATGCTAGCAGAACTGGGTTCATTCAGGAAGCTTTTTTTTTTCTTTTTGGTGAGGCAATCCGGGTTAAGTGACTTGCCTAGGGTCACACAGCTAGTATCAAGTGTCTGAGGCCAGATTTGAATTCAGGTCTTTCTGACTCCAAGGCTGGAGTTCTATCTGCTTTGCCACTTGCCTGCCCCTATAGTTTTGGCTATCATTTGTTTTTTTTTCTTTCTTTCTTTTTTGGTGAGGCAATCAGGGTTAAGTGACTTGCCCAGAGCCACACAGCCAGTGAGTGTTATGTGTCTGAGGCCAGATTTGAACTCCGGTCCTCCTGACTCTAGGGCCAGTGCTCTATCCACTGTGTCACCTAACTGCCCTAGGAAGCTTCTTGACAGAGAGCAGTCCTCATTCAGCCATTCATTCATTCAATAAACATTTATTAAGTACCTGCTGTATAGGGGAGGAAACTGAGGCAGGCCCAGAGAGCTTAAGTAACTTGCCCAGGGTCACACTGGTAGTGTCCAAGGTGGGGTTTTGGACCCTAACTCCAAATTCAGTGCCCTGCCCATTATACCACACTGAAAACAAAACAGTCCCTCCTCTCAATAAATCTTTGTTGACTCAACTCAGGAAGCTCACAAGTGATGGGTATCGTGATTGAAATTTAAGGTAAACTGAGGCACATTCAGTTTATCGGTAAGGCTGGCAGTTATCAATAAGAGGGGTCTTTAGCCCCTCATCACACCAAAAGGCCCTGAACTGATAGATTATTTTATGGACAATAGGAAAAGCACCCCCAAACTAGAAGGCAGCATCAGAGCTGGGGAAAACAACATAACTGGTTCCAAAGTCAGAAGCATCTTAGGTGTGGAGAACAATACGATTGGCTAGAAATCTGGAGCGCAGGCTAGCAACAACACCTCCTTCCATGTTGTCACTGTGGAAGGCTCACTGGTGGTGTCCGCCTGCATGGACAAAGCAATCACAGGCTAGACTCCCCAGCCACCACTTTCGCCCTTCAAGGATCACAGATTTCTTCTAACTATACAAGGGCAGCTAGTGGTATGGAGAGCTTTTAACTAAAGTGATTTATAGGGAAACTGAACTTGACTTAGGCACCTCTATAAAATGTCAGTGGTTATATAGAATAGAATCAATTACAAAATAGAATCAAGTTTGAGGAGGGAGGAGAGACAGTTGTCAGAGTGCCTCCAGGTCTTCCAGATCAATCAATTAATCAATAAACATTTATTAAGGGCCTACTAGGTCAGGCTGCTAAGCTGCTGACCTTCCACTTGGGAGTCTTTCGGGCTCCTCCTCAGCTAGAGGCAGCTGGAGAAGATTGAAGATTGCCACGTCAGAGAAGATAAGAGGCTCTGCCCCCCCCAACAGAGGCTGTGCCCTCTCTCTCATGACCATGCAATCTGAGCCCTCTGAGGGCTGAGCAAATGTTCCTAAGGCCCTGAGCCCTGGCAACAACATATGGCTTGGCACCGAGGTTCCAAGTCTACTCTCTTCATCTCTTTAGGTTAGGATTCATCAGGCATCCATTAAAAGTCTGTTTACATACCAGGCTCTGTGATGAGCACAGGGCGGAAACCACTAAATTAAAAACAAAACAAAACAAAAATAGTCCAGACCCTCAAGGAGCTTACAATGGAAGGTGAGTTGATTAAACTACAAATAAATTGTTAGGCACTCCCAGGTGAGGAGATTCCTTCCACCAAAGAAAGTCGGCATCTTCTCCGTAATTATAGAGAGTGACTCGCCCGGGTCACACAGGGGCAAGACTTGGCTTTGAGGCCAGCTCTCTGCCCATTGTGCCACACTGCTTCTCTGCAAGCATGTTTATTAAGCACCTACTATGTGCCAGGCACTGTGCTAAATCCGAAGATACAAAGAAAGGCAAAAGACAATCTCTGCCTGTGAGGAGCACAAAGTCTAATGGGGAGAAATATGCAAAGAACTTGTACAAAGAAGATAGAGACAGGATAAATTGGAAATAAACAGCAGAAGGAAGGGGCTAGAATTAAGACGGATGGCAAAGGCTCCTTGTAGAAGGTGGTTTTTGAACTGAAACTTGATTGAAGCCAGGGCAGAGATAAGGAGGGATGCATTCCAGGAATGCTACAAAAGCAGGAAAAATGCTCAGAGCTGAGAGGGGAGGTCTTGTTGGAGGAATAGCCCAGAGATTCAGATACTGGATAAAGAATACACGTTGGGGCTCAGATTCTTATAATCTAGCCAATAGCTCAGTAACATTCAGACTCCTTAAGAGTTGCCTAATATGGGGGGCAGCTAGGTAGCACAGTGGATACAGCACCGGCCCTGAACCTAAGTTTAAATCCAGCCTCAGACCAAACACTTGACACTTACTAGCTGTGTGACCCTGGGCAAGTCACTTAACCCCAATTGCCTAAAAGCAAAAAAAAAAAAAAGAGTTGCCTAATATGGCAGATCTTTAATGAACCTTGTCTTTGGCTGAAAGAAAGCTTGGGTCGAATTCTTTCGGGCAGGATTTACGTGCTGTGATTTTGGGGTCTCAGCACCCCTAAGCTCCTAGGCCTCAACATTTTGGTGGCCCACAGGGGGAAACTGCCTAACTCCAAGTTCTTCTCCAGCCAGAACTGGAAGGGTCAAGAAATATTCTATCCCCCATCAAAGAGGGTAACTACAATCCTCTTCATCCCTCTGGGAATTGTAGGGACTTCTTTCTGTGGGCTGGAGTTTTATCATCTGGCTGGCAGGGAAGCCAAAGAAAGGCAAAAAGTCTCCCAAAAGGCCTGACGTATGCTAAATAGCTACTTGTTAGAGAAAAATGGAAAAATTGTCAAGCCCTTCAACCAGCTTTGTGAAAAAGGACTAAAAGTTTTAGTGGAGTCATCCACACTGGATGATGACATTGGTGGCGTTTTTCTCCATAGCAATGAATCATCCCCACTATGCCATTTTGATGTATACCATTTTCTTCAGTTGTTGTCTGCAGCCATGACCCATAGGTTTTTTACCTTGTATATTTTTGTGCCTATGAATCTATTAAAAATCATTTTGGATTTCAAGAAGAAGGGATTATTTGGAAAAATAAAGACATTCAACTACAGCCCAATGCCAATTCTGCTTTGCAAATACAATAAAATGCTGTTTTATAGCAAAAGAAAAAAAAATACATGTTGGGGGTGGACGGTAGTATGGAAAAGTGTGTGTGTGTGTGTGTGTGTGTGTGTGTGTGTGTGGTATGTGTGGGTGTCCTAAGTTAGGAAGGGCTTCGAACACCAAATAGAGTTTTATACCTGATGTTAGAGGCCATAGGGAGCCATAGAGTGTGTTGTGTGTTAGGGGAGGCCAGGGCAGCGTAACAGGGATAGAGCCGGACTTTGGAAAGGTGACTTTAACAGCTGAGTGGAGGATGGACTGAGGAAGAGACCTCAGGTAGGCAGACCCACCAGCAGCTATCACAGGAATCTAGGTATAAGGTAATGGCATCTGCTCCAGGGTAGAGGCAGGGTTCGAGGAGAGAAGGGGGAGTATTCGGGAAATGTTCAACGGTAAAATCAACAAGGATCTGTTCGGATAGAGGGGTGGGGGAAAAGTAAGAATTTGAGGAAGACACCTAGATTTCAAGCCTGACACCTGGGAGGATGGTGGTGCCCTAGACAATAATAGAGATATTTAGAAAAAAGAAGGCATGGGGGTAGCTAGGTGGCACAGTGGATAGAGCACCAGCTCTTAAGTCAGGAGGACCTGAGTTCAAATCTAGCCTCGAACCAAACACTTGATAGCTGTGTGACCCTGGGCAAGTCACTTAACCCCAATTGCCTAAAAATAAAAACAAAGCAAAAAAAAGAAGAGAGGGGGGAATATAATGAGTTCAGTTTTGCATGTATTGGGTTTAAGAGGTCTAGGAGACAGCCAGGTCAAGCTACCCACGAGGTAGCTGGAGATATGAACCTGGAGGTCAGCACTGGGGTTAGGGCTGGATAAAGGTGCCCTATAATCTTACCCCCTCATTTTAAAAAGAGAATAGGAAGCAGAGGATCAGAGATTATCTGACCTCCCCAAATTCCCATTGGTAGTAAATAGTCAGATGCAGCTGGTGGCACAGTAGACAGAGAAACAGGGCCTGGAGTCAGTAGGTCTTGAGTTCAAATTTGACCTCAGACACTTACTACTTACTACTACATATTACTTTTTCTGTGTGACCTTGAATGAGCTGTTTATCTTTGTTTGCTGCAGTTTCCTCAGCTGTAAAAACAGGGATAATAATAGCTCCTACCTTGTAGGGTTGTCAGGATCAAAGGAGATGATAATATTTGTAAAAAGTGCCTGCATACAGTAGGTGTTATCTAAATGCTTATTTTCTTCCCCTTTCCCCAGTTGATATTTGAACCTAGGTCTTCTAACCCCAAATTCACTACAGCACACTGCTTGTCCATTAACTAGTAATTACTGATACTGTTAACATTAATAGCAACAATTAATAATACTGTGTTGACTCACGTGGATTTGGAGGGACAGAACATCCCAGAACCTCAGAGTTGGGAGGCACCTCTAAGGCCATCAAAGCTTGCCTATAAGGAGGTAATGTAGAAAGAGTTGTTGTTGTTAGGAGTAACCCACCTTGAGCCCGGGTAGCTGTGACCTTGTAGAGGGCGTGGGTAACCCACCACCTGGTGGGGGTAGCAAGCATGTCTTCAGCTGTTCTTTCCACTGAAGATTTTGTTCTTCCCAGGCTGGGAGAGACTAATTGCCATGCACCTGTGTTTTGACAGGGCCAAGCTGGGGTGGCCTGGGAGTACATCTGAGGGGGGGCTGGGCAGAAGTTGGGAGGAGAAGCTGGACGTGTAGCTAAAGGCATCCCCAGAATGGTCCATTGTTCAACTGACCAGAGAGATCCAGACCTCCAAGGGTCCTGGGTTCAAATTCTGGCTGTGATACTTGACCGTTTCCCCTCCTGAGCCTAGGTTTCCTCATCTGCCTACCTTATAAGATCATAGGGACCTAGACCTAGGACTAGATTGACACCAAAGGCTAGCCAGTTCAATCTCTTTATTTTACCCTTCAGAAAACTGAGCCCCAGGGAGATCAGAATGTAGAAGGAAAAACATGAATACCTTCCATTTTAGGCTTAAGTCTGCCAGAAACCACTGTATTTATCATTCACATCCAAGACATTTCTGGCTTAAAGAGAAGTCCTGCTTGGCAGAGTTCCCCCATGCCTTTCAATGCCTCTGGACTACAAAACAATTAGAGGTAATGGTTTTTGGAATCTTTGTTTTTTGAAGCAATCAGGATTAAGTGACTTACTCAGGATCTTATGGCTAGTAAGTGTCTGAGGCTGAATCTGAACTCAGGACCTCCTGACTCTAGGACCTGTGCTGCTCTTTGGGATCTTGAAGAAGGAAATGACAATATGTAAAAACAGTTTAGGGTTAACATTACAAAGGAGTTGTGTGGGCACTGTCTCATTCCCTTCCGGCCCATTCCATTCAAATATTCTCCAGGAATACACAAAGGGATGTAGGCCCAGATATCTTAATCCTTTTTCTGTGGAGAAGGGTGAGTCTCTTTGGACCTATCTCTTAAGGGATAAGGGGAGAGGAGAAGGCCATTAGATGGGTCTATAGCAAGGCCCAGAGGGAAAGAACTGGGCCAAGCTTAAATTCCTACTAAGTGCTAAATTCTTAGCAAACAAAAGGTAAAGAAGACACAAGTCATTCTTTGTTAGATAGTTGGGTTCCAAATCTTAATTTTTTTTTTTTTGGCAAGGCAGTTGGGGTTAAGTGACTGGCCCATGGTCACACAGCTATTAAGTGTCAAGTGCTTGGTCTGAGACCAGATTTGAACTCAGGTCCTACTTACTCCAGGGCTGGTGCTCCCTCCACTGCACCACCTAGCTGCCCTCAAATCTTAATTTTAAACCTTAATCTTAATCCAACTTCCCAAGAAAGGCCTTTTGTCCTACATTTCTTTCATCTTTCCAAGGGCAAGTCTTTCTTAATGTTGTTAGAGAATATTAAGGAGGACCATCCTCTAGTAAATAGTTCTTAATATTTCTAGAGAAATGAAAAAGCTGATTAGTATGTTCCCCGAAGAGGAGGGTGGTAAAGCAGTGGGCCTGGAATGCTCTTTCTCCTACTGACCTCCCTGGCTTTCTCTAAGTCCCAACTAAAATCCCACCTTCTATAGGAAGCCTTCCCCAGCCTCCCTTCATTCCACTGCCTTCCCTTTATTAAGGATTTCCTATTTATCTCATATATAATGTGCTCTGTATATATTTGTTTGCATGTTGTCTCCCCCATGAGACTGTAAGCTCCTTGAGGTCAGGGGCTGTTTTTATGTTTCTCCAGAGAGTTTAGGATAGTGCCTGGCACGTGGTAGGCACTTAATAAATGTTGATTGAGTCAGAAATTAACTCTTTGAGTTCCACATGCATGTTCACTTCTCTTGTAATAAACTTGGCTTTCACATAAGACTCGCAACACCGACACATTAAGGTATCTAGAGCTGATTCCAAGTTACTGGGAGGCTAGATTAAGAGTCTGAAAACATAGTACAAACCCTTCCCATGTCCCTTACCACCTCTATGACATTAGTCAAGCCTTGTCACTCTTCTGGACCTCAGTTTCCTTATCTGTAAAATAAAGGACTGGATAGATGACCTCTGAGACCCACCCTAGTCCTGCATCTTATGAACTAGGGGTCCCTGGGACAGGTCAATGGAGGATTTAAAGCCTGTGTATTTTTCTAGGGCAAGGGAGAATAGCAGTGCCTGATATCCCCACAAACGTGGCTGACTGTGTAGACATCACAGGAATTTTGCCTGATTGCTCCCTAAAGGTAACGGGGTACCCAGACAAGCCCTGGTTGTTTTCAAAGGCTTCCTGGCCCCTTGAGCATTTCCTCCTCCTGGCACCTGTAAGATCATGAGAACTAGAGCTAGGAGAAGAACTTGGAAGGCAACCAAACCATATTGGGAAACTGAGTCTCAAAGACAGGAAATTATATAGGTATGCCAAAGGTCATTGGTTCTTCCTCCCTCTCTGGCCTCACCCTCCGGTTCAGCTCCCAGCTCCCAGCTCTCAAGTCCCAAGGTGACATTCAGGTAAACTGGGAGAACCTTCCTCTCTGACCAAAGCTGAGATCAGGAGCTTGCAGCAGAGCCAGGGTTAGTATTCTGACTCTTGGGATCTCAGCCCAGCCCCTTCTCTTTGTTCCAGGTGGAGAGAGGAGTGTGGTCAAAATGGCCTCCAGCAATGCCTTCCCCCAAGCTTCCTGGGGGATCCTGAGGTTTTTTTCTCCCTGGATACGTGTGGGTGCTTGGTCAACTTCAAGGCTGGCCTTGCTCTTATGGGGATTTAAGGGGTCAAGGTCCAGGCTCCAGAGCTTTTGATCCCTGAAACAAGCCCCATATGGAAAAAGGGCCGAGAGTCAGAAAAGGATGGGGGAAGGGAGATGGTGAGCATTTCACGTGTGTATTTCACATATGTAATTTCTCTCTTCAGAATTACTGGCATTTACTTTGCTTTTAATTTAAAACCTTTTATTCTGAATTTCAAAAACACCAAATAAAACTGGGACCTCCATATACATAATAGAACAGAAATGGAGGATCGTCTATAAAACTGTAGATCCATTTTTTATTTTTTTATTTAATTCTGGATTAGAGGCAGTGAGGCCTAGTGAGTAGTGTGTGTCCTTGGAATGGAAAACCTGAGTAAGTACTGTGGGACCCTGGACAAGTCACATAAACTCTGGTGCCCAAGGCTCCTCCCCGGACAGAGATGCCCTCTGGCTTGAGGGGCAAAGGAAGTACCCTCTGCATTGCAATCCCCAGGTCTAGTTCCATGCCTACCCCTGTTGGCGTATTCATGGGTTCATGTGTACATACACATGCACATCCGGTAGGCATGTATCAGGATCCACCCATGCTGACTTGCATGCATAATTTTTTTTTTTTTTACCAAGCCCAGCCTGGACCAGGGTTTAAGTACTTCCCAGGACGGCCAGTCAAGGCCGGCAAAAGGAGCTGGCAGAGAGAAGAACAAACATTAGTCCCTTATCGCTGGGGGACAGCTATAAGAAGGCAAGTCCCATGGTAGCCTCGTCTTTACTTTTGTTCACCTCCCCTGAGGACAGAATGCATCTCCTCCTCCTGGCCGTCTTCTTGGCAGGTACGGCATGTTAGCTCCCCTGGGTGCCTGGGGCTGGTCCGAAGCCGGGGTGGCCAAGGGGAGAGACAGACAGAGCAGTCAGCTCTCAGGGGACTTGGAGAGAGAGGGCCTCTTGGCACTGGTTTGTGGCAAATTAGCCCCAGCTTCTTCACCTTCACGGGATGGAAGAGACACATTTGATAGATGAGGAAACTAAGGGCTAGAGAAGCCATGCAGATAGTAAGTGGCAGCTCAGGTATGTGAACCCAGGTCTCTGATGCCAGATGACTATCACATAGGGCCCTTCCAGCTCTTAATGATCCTGGTGACATCAGCAAATCTAGGCTCATTAACCTTGGATAAATCACCTCTCCTCCCTCTGTGGACTTCTGATTCCTTCCCTGTAAAAATCATGGACCCAGTGGTCTCTAGTGTAACCTTCCACTTCTAAATCTGAGGCAGCTCTAGGCTGAAGACAGGGGCTAGACTTAGTTCTAAATTGGAGGCAGACAGCTTGGAGACCCTAGTGGCTGCAGTGCTGGATACTAGATAAGAAGAGTTGAGTTTGAATTCTGCCTCAGATGTTTCCTAGCTGTGTGACCCTGGGCAAGTCACTAAACCCCTCCGCCCACCTCAGTTTTTCTCATCTGTAGAATGGGGATGACAGTAATAGCACTACTTCATAGAGTTTTTGTGAGGATTATATAATAGTTGTAAAATGCTTTACAAAGCTGAAGCATTATATAATTATTAGTTATTATCATCATCATCATCATCATCCTTCAACTTGAGTTCAAACTCTACCTCAGACACTTATGAACTATGTCACTTCAGGGAAGTCCCATAACCTCTCAGACCTTCAATGTCCTCTTCTGTCCTTTTTCTCTTTTTTTGTTCTCTTTTTCTTTTTAAAAAAAGTATTTACTTTTCTCCAATTATGAGTAAAAACAATTTTCAACATTCGTTTTTAAAATTTTGGATTCCACGTTGTACATAGTAACAGCAACATTGTGCGATGACCGACGTTGATACACTTAGCTCTTTTCAGCAATGCAAGGATCTAAGACAGCTCCAAAAGACTCATGATGGAAGGTGCTCTCTACATCCAGAAAAAACTATGGAATCTGAATGCAAATGCAAGTATACTATTCTCTCTCTCTCTCCCTTTTTTCTTTCTAGTGGTGTTTCCCTTTTGTTCTGATTCTTCTTTCACAATATGACTAATGTGGAAATACGTTTAATAGGATTGCACATGTATCAGATATATCAGATTGCATGGCGCCTTGGGGAGGGGAGAGGGGGGAAAAGTTTAGAACTCAAAATCTTATAAAAGTGAATGCTGAGACCTAAAAATAAATAAATTAATTAATTAAGAAAAATTTGAGTTCTAAATTCTCTCCCTCTCTCCTCATCCCCTTCATTGAGATGGCAAGCAATTTGATATAGTTTATACACGTGTAGTCATGCAAAACATATTTCCATATTGTCCTGTTGTAGAAGAAAACATAGACAAAAAACCACAAACCCTCAAAACAAAGAAAGTTAAAAAAAAGTCTGTTTCAATCTGCATTCAGACTCCATCGGTTCTTTCTCTGGAGGTGGACACATTTTTCGTCATGAGTCCTTTGGAATTGTCTTGGACCCCTGAATTGCAGAGAAGAGCTGAGTCATTCACAGCTGACAACCTTACAATATTACTGTTACTGTGTACAATATCATTGCCTTCTTATGTAATGTAAAACGTTGCAAGACCTGCCTCACAGCGCAATTGTGAGGAAAGTCGTAATCCCTTCGCAAACTTCGGGGTGCAGTAGAAGGAGCCATTGGTTTGCTTCTATGTAATTAAATAATTTCGAGGGGGCTGTGTAGCACAGTGGCTAGCGAGCTGGCCTAAAAGTCAAGACAACCTAGGTGTAAGTCATCCTGGCTGTGTGACCCTGGGTAAGTCACTTAAACTCGTGGTAGCCCAGGCAGCTCAGTTTATACGAGGAATTGTCAAACAGGTCAGTCAGTCAATAAATGGGCGCTGTGCTAAGGGCCGGGGAGACGGAGGAAGCAAACACATGGTCAAACAGCAAACAAACCCATAGCTATAAACGCGCCATATCGACAGGATCAATGGGAAATAACGGACCAGGAAGGCACTCGATTTAAGAGGGGCTGGGAAAGGCTTCCAGGAAAGAGGACTGCAGTTGGGACTCAAAGGTAGCCAGGTGGAGATGAGGAAGCAGAGGGCTCCAGGCATGAGGAACAGACAGGGAAAAGGCCTGCAGCCAAGTCTCTGAGGGTCTTTTCGTGGAGCAGCCAGGAGGCCAATGTCACTGGGTGGAAGAGTTTGTGGTGGAGAGTGAGGCATCAGAAGACCCGGAAAGGGAGGAAGGGGCTGGGTTCAAAGGGTCTTGAATGACAAACAGAGCATTTTGTAGGTGATAGGGAGTTTGTTAAGTAGGGACGTGATATGATTACACCTGAACTTTAGGAAAATCACTTTGGTGGCTGAATGGAGGCAGGACTGGAGTGGGGAGAGACTTCAGACTCACCAGAAGCTATTGCAATAATCCAGGTGGGAGGTGATGAAGCATAGCAATGTCAGAGAAGAAAAGGGGGTGTACTTGAGAGCTATTGCCAAAGCCTTGGCAACAGCTTGGATATGGGGGGAGGGGATGAGAGATAGTGAGGAATAGAAGAAGACTGCTAGGTTGTGAGCCTGGGGGATGGGGAGGATGGTGATGTCTTAACAGTAATAAAGAAGTATGGGGAAGGGGGACTTAGGGGGAAATTATATAGCACTTACTATATGCCAGGTACTGTGTTAAGTGTTTTACAATTATTATCTCAATTGAGATAATACTCAAAACAGTCCTGGGTGTAGGTGCTATTATTATCCCCATTTTACAGAGGAAGAAACTGAGGCAAATAAGTTATATGACTTGCCCAGGAACACATAGCCAGTAAGTATCTAAGGCCACATTTGAACTCAGGTCTTCCTGATTCTAGGCCCATCACTCTTATCTACTGTGTACCTAGCTGATAATGAGGAGGGGGGTTTTGGGACCTCTAGTTTAAGATGTCTACTGGACATCTAATTCAAGAATCATTAAAGGCATTTGGAGATTTGAGATTGAAAGTCAGCAGACAGGCAGAGTCATCAGCACAGAGATGGTCATTAAATCAATGGCAGCTGATGTGATCGCCAAGCGAAGTGGTATAGAGGGGGAAGAAAAGAAGTCCAGGGAGAGAGCCTGGTGAGATATCTGTAGTCAGTGGTTGTGATCTGGAGGAGGAGCCATCAAAAGAGACTGAGAAGGAGTGGTCAGAGAGGTAGGAGGGGAGAAAAGGGGGGGGGAGAAAAGAGAAAGAGAGAAGAGAGAGAGAGAGAAGGAGAGGGGGAGAGAGAGGAGAGACAGAGACAGAGACAGAGAGAGAGACAGAGAGAGGTGTCCTGAAAAAAAAGCAGAAAGAAGAGAGTATCGAGAAGAGAGTGATAGACAGTGTCAAAGGCGGCAGAGACTCAGAGGTCAAGGAGAGTGAGGATGGAGCAGGCCCCACGGACGTTAATGGAGGGACAATAAACTCGAGGGTCAGGACCAGAAAGGAGAGGCATGACCTGGATCATATTGGGTCTGGGCTTCCAGTAACGTTATCCTCCAACACTTCTTTCTAGAATAGAGGAAACCATGGGTCTGTTAAAGAATGTAAGCTCCTGGAGGGCAGGGACTGATTTCTTCTTGGCTTTGTACCCCCAGCACACAGCACACAATGTCTGGTGTATATTGCTGTTCAGACCTTCAGTTGAATCAGACTCTTCATGACCCCAGGACCATAGTACACCAATACTGTCCATGGGGGTTTCTTAGCAAACACATCGGAGTGGTGTGCCATTTCCTTCTCCAATGAATTAAGGCAAACAGAAGTTAAGTGACTTTCACAGGGTCACACAGCTAGTAAGTGTCTGAGGTCGCATTTGAACTCAGCTCTTCCTGACTCCAGGCTGGCACTCTACCCACTGCACCACCTAGCTGTCCCCAACATTCATTTTTTAAAAATTTTTGTACACTACAAATTTCCGCCAAAGTAATTTTCCTTAAATGTAGACCTAACCATGTGACTCCCCTTCTCCACCAAATCCTGTAGCTCCTGATGTATTTCCTCTAGGATAGAGCAAATTCCTCTGTTTGGATCTTAAAGCCCTTCACAACATGATCCTAACCTATCTTTTTATCCCCACTGTACATCACTTTCCCTCCCATACTCTCTGATGCAGCCAAACTGGCCTTCTCTCTGGTCCTCACACTTGACACCTAGATTAATATTCCTAATCAATACTGATGTCGATATTTTAAATAAAAAAATCAATAAGGAAACTACAGCAATATATCACAAACATTGTACACTATGACCAGGCTGGATTTATACCAGGAATGCAGGGCTGATTCGATATTAGGAAACTATAAAGGTAATTGACCATACTGATAACAAAGGCAACAAAAATCATATGATGATGTCGATAAATGCAGAAAAGGCATCTGACAAGATACAACACCCATTCTTGTTAAAAAACACCAAAAAGTACAGGAATAAACAAAGCTTTCCCTAAAATGATACATCATATCTATGGAAAACCAAAAGCCAGCATTTTCTGTGGTATTTCTAGAAATGCTGGCTATTACAATAAGAAAAAGAAATCGAAGGAATGAAGAAAAAAATTGCTGCTTTTTACAGAGAATACGATGGTTAATTTAGGGAACCCTAGAAAGCTGACTGTTAAACTAATTGAAACTTGAGGAGGAAAAAATTTGGGCTATCAATAGTCATATGAAAAAATGTTCTAACTCACTAAAAATTAGAAAAATACAAATTAAAATAACTCAAAGCTCTACTTCATAGCCCTCTGATTGGCAAAGTTAACACAAAAGGAACATCGCATACGCTGGAGGGGCTGTGGGAAAACAGGTACATTAACAAACTGTTGGTGGGACTGTGAACCGGTCCATTCTAGAGGGCAATTGGAACTCTGCCTAAAAACCTATTAACTGTGCATCCCTTTTGACCTAGCTGCTAGGTGTGTACCCTATAGATATCAAAGACAGAGGAAAAGCACTCATATGTCCAAAAAACTCAACCACAATGCCAAAGGACTTGGGATGAAACAGACTACTCATTTCTAGATAGAGAGGTGATGTGTGTGTGTGTATGTGTGTGTGTGTATATATGCACATACATACAAACACATATATACATATGTGTGTGTATATATACATACACACATACATACATATATATTTTAAGGACATGGCTGATGTGGGAATTTATTTTGCCCAACTACACATATTTATAAAGGATTTTTTTTCTCATTTTCTCTATAGGAGAGAATATGGAATTTCAAATAAAATCAAATTTTAAAAATAATGTTAGAAAAGTAGATAGGAACTATATTATAATAGGGTAGAAATCTCTAGCAAGCTAACCACCCCCAGACTTATGCCTGTTTCTCCCCCTCTTCAGTGGGCATTACTGCTGATGCCAGCCCCCGAGCATTGTGGCAGTTTCGAAATATGATCAAGTGCGTCATTCCCGATAGTTACCCCCTGCTGGACTACAACAATTACGGTTGCTATTGCGGCCTGGGTGGGAGCGGCACCCCTGTGGATGAACTTGATCAGTGAGTAACCATGGCAAGAAAAGGCGGGTGGATGGTCTACAGATCTTAGCCCTCGGAGCCAGTTTACTTCCATAAATAGTTAGTGTCACAGGCTGAATTAATCTGACCTTGGCCCCATCCAGCTCTAAGGTTTTTAACGCCTGCTCAGGCAGAATGGTGGGCTTGGAGTCAAGCAGACCTACATTCAAATCCCTTCTTGGACACTTAGCAGCTGTGTGACCCTGGGCAAGTCACTTAAGCCTCCCTCAGCCTCAGTACCAATCCAGCTAAATTCTGGGGTTTGTTACCAGGTTGGCTGATAGGGGAAGAGTAGGCCAGTCAGTCAATGAACCCTCAAGGAGTTTCCTTTCGAGCAGAGGTGAGAGTTGACTCTTACCTGCTAGCTCCCCATCTGTGGTCCTCCCCACTCCAGCCCCCAAGAATTGCCATCTTCTCAATCTGTTTTTCTCTGTCCAAAACTCTATGAGGATGATGGCTACCTGGTTGGTCTACTGGAGAGCCAGAGCCCTGGATGGGCAAAGACAGGAAGGCAAAGGGTCAGCTTTTAGCTGAAGAGGAAATACAGAAAAAATCTGGATGGGGTGGGAGGACACTAAGTCTGGAAAAATTTCCCTTCCAGGCTTCTGGGGCCTTTGAGGATGGGGCAAGGGCCTAGGAAAAGTGGCCATCTGTGGGCACCTCCGGCTCACACCTTCGGCTCCTGGCCTGGCACTGATTGCTATCCTTTCCCTCAGGTGCTGTCAGGTGCACGACGAGTGTTATTCAAAGGCCCTGAAGCTTGACAGCTGCAGTTCTATCCTGGGCAACCCCTACACCAATAGTTATTCCTACAGCTGCTCTAACAATGAAATCACCTGCAACAGTAGGTGCACTCCAGGCTTCACCTTACCTAAGGCTTGTAGGCCTCCCATGAGTGGGAAAGTCCTGTCTCCCAAACTGAGGGGGGGCAGGATTTGGTGTCCTCTTAGGCCCTGACCTTTCCTGTTCCAAGCCCCTGCCAGCCCTGACATCCCTTATTCTAAGGCCCCTGCCAGCCCTGCCATGCCCTGTTCCAAGGCCTCTCCCAGCTCTGACATGCCCTGTTCTAAGGCACCCCCCCAGCCCCGACATGCCCTGTTCTAAGTGCCCCCCCCCAGCCCTGACAACCCCTGTCCTAAGGGCCCTCCCAGCCCTGACATCCCTTATTCTAAGGCTTCTCCCAACTTTGACATTCTCTGTTCTAAGGGCCTTCCCACCTCTGGCCTTCTATGATAACAAGTCAATTGCTTAAGTTAGGGATGTTCATTGGCGCACAGTGATACATCTGACAGTTAGCTCAGACCTCTTTCCATCTTCCCCTCTCCAGGCAAAAATGATGACTGTGAAGCCTTCATCTGCAACTGTGATCTAAATGCTGCCTACTGCTTTTCCACGGCACCATACAACAAAGAAAACAAGAACTTGGACTCGGAAACATACTGCAGCTGAAAAGAAACTATAGGTTCTCCCTCCGTCAGCCCCGTCGGAGGCAGCCACCTTCCTCTGAGCCTGCAGGCTGTCGCCTTCATTAAAGCATCTTGAAAGGCTCCCTGTCCTCTAGCTTTTTCTTTCCTCCTCTTGGGGCCTCAGACTTGAGGGAATTGTGCTCAGAGAGCTCTTGTTATGGCTGAGTCTTCTGTTAAGTCTTGAGGGAGGCAGAGTTGGGAGGATAATTAACACTGAAATCACCCATCGGGACAGAAGAGAACCGCATCCTTAGGAACTAGGAGGGGGCTAGCTAGTCTTGGATTTTCCACCTGGGAAAAGTGTGATCTTGGAAGAGTGAGTTGAATGGATGAATGAATGAATGAGAAAACATTTTCTCTCGGGCTCAGTTCTGAGTCCCACATGTTAGGAAGGATGTTTGAGAACTCATGATAACTCATAACCATGGTGTCCAAGGGTCTCATGTCCCTTCAATCCTTCTGGGCATCTTGGTTCAAAACCTGCAAGTTAGTTCATTTTTTAATTCTTCCCTCTTACTGGCCCCACCTCCATCCAATTAGTTGTCAATTTTAGGTCTATAACATCTCTCAAATCAGTCTTTAACGCCCTCTTTCTGGCCCTGATCACGCCCAGACTACCCTGGTGTCACAGCCTTCTAACTGGTCTCCTCGTCTCCAATTTGCTTCTCTCTTAGAATCTCAGTTCTGCTGACTCTAGTCTCTCTGTTGTCCAAAACCTTCACCTTGGCATTCACGACCACTAGCAAAATGGCTCTGATTTACCTTTTTGGGTTCACTTCATGCTTTCCTTTGTGAACTCTAGGCTTCCATCAAACCGGACTTTACTCAGCATTCATCGTCTACTATGTGTCAGTTATGGTGCTAAGTGCTGGGGTTACAAAGGAAAGCAAAAAGCAGTCCTTGCTCTGGAGGCACGCACAGTTCAATGCAAGAGACAACACACTAACAAGCTATTTACTGGGTGACCTTAATGGAGTCACCTATGCTGTGGAGCTCAGTCAGCTCTAACATCTGCAGAATCTAGCATCCTTTAGAATGAAGGAGCTGGACTACTAGATGTCCTCAGAGATCCCTTCCAGCTCCAAAAAGATGCTCAAATGATCAGCTCCATCACTTGAGCCTTTTATTATGTACTTGACACTGGTGGAGGTGCAAAGGCAAAAATGAAATAATGATGACTTTCCTCAAGGGGTTTTTAGTCTGAGAGCAACATAGGCTCATTTACCTAGATACAAGCCAAGTTCACTCAAGACCATTTGCAGTGTTCCAAAGTGGAGAGGCTGAGCTGCTGTGGGATAATCAGGAAAGATTTCATGGAGGAAACAGCCCTCGAACTGAGCTTTGGAGGAGGCTAGAAATTCTAAGAAACAGGGATGCCAAGCATGCCAAGCATGGGGGACAGATGGCCCATACAAAGGCATGGAAAAGGGACACAGAATTCCATGTGTTGGTGAACGTAGTAAAACAAGTTTGGCTGGACCCAAACTGTAATATGATTTATTTTTATTTTCAGTTCTAAATTCTCTCCCTCCCTCCACTCCTCTTCTGCTCATTGAGAAGGCAAGAAATATATACTCATCATACATATGGAGTCACAGAAAATATTTCCACTCATCTTTATGAGTTCATATCTGGTCTCAGATACCTACTGGCTGTGTGACCCTGGCCAAGTCACTTAACCTTGTTTACCTCAGTTCCTCATCTGATAAGCCAGAAAAGGAAATGGCAAACCACTTCGGGAACTTTGCTAAGAAAACCCCAAATAGAGTCAGAAGAGTCTGACATGACTAGTAGGGGGAAAAAAACATGAAAAACAAAGAGAAAAAATAAGCTTCATCCACACTCAGCACCAGTTCTCTATCTGAAGATGGATAGCATTTTTCATCATGAGTCCTTTGGAATTATCATGGTTTTTAGTGTATTGACCAGAGTTGCTAATTCTTTCACAATATTGCTATTACTGTGTATGATGTTCTCAGGGTTCTGCTCCCTTCACGTTGTATCAGTTCACACAAGTCTTCCCAGGTTTTTCCGAACCCACCCCCCTCTATCATTTCTCCAAGCACCACAGTGTCCCTTCATAATCCTGCCATTCCCCAATTGAGGGAATCTTTTTTTTTTCAGCCTAAGACAAGGTTTATTAGAACATCCATCATATTGGGCAGACTCTTAAGGAGTCTGAACATTAATAAGCAGTGGCTAGATTTTAGGCATCTGAGCATCTTAATGGAGACAAGGTGGACCTTATATACAGAAAGCGCGTGGGAGGGATCTAGGAGTGGGAAAAGTTCCCACTAAACTTTTTTTTTTGAGGCAATTGGGGTTAAGTGACTTGCCCAGAGTCACACAGCTAGGAAGTGTTATGTCTCTGAGGCTGGATTTGAACTCAGGTCCTCCTGACTTCAGCGCCGTACTCTATCCACTGTGCCACCTAGCTGCCCCAGGAATCCTCTTTCCGATTTGTTGCCACCGCAAAAAGAGCTACTATAAATATTTTTTACACGTGAGTGTTTCCTTTTTCTTTTATCTCTTTGGCTCTGGGATTGATACTGCTGGGTCAAAGGGTATGTATGCTGTGCCTGGTTTTATAGATAAAGTCTGCATGGGTAGGCTGAAGCCTGATGATAAAGGGCTTTGAAAGGCCAGATTGAGGAATTTCCATTGCATTCGAGGAGCAACTGTGAGCCATTGAAGCTTCTTCACCAGGGGAGGGACTCCAATACTTGCTCCCTTATGCCCCCTAACTGCCACGCATTTCTCTGCCTCCACCTACCCCGCCCCTAAAAGAGACACAAAGCCCTCGTGGGGACTAAGTAAGCAAATGAAATCCCCACAACGGCCAAGTCCGGAAACACAGCAACATTGTAAAGAAAAGCACCTTGGAGGGGCATCAGACACTTAGTATCTAGGTGACCCTGTGAAGATCCAATGAGATAATTACATTTTGCGAACCTTAAAGTGATTTATGAGTATTAATTACGGGAGAAGGGGCAACATTGGGAACATTGTAACTATTTATTTGGCGCCCAACGAACTACTCTCCAGCTCAAAAAACCAGGCTCAGAAAAGGCAGAGCACAGCAGGGGGGAGCCACATGGCGATATTTACCTTCCTTCGCCACGTGATCCCGCCTCGTGCGCGCGATCGCCGCTGCAGGGAAGTGAGCAGGACACCTGAAAGGCGATTGGCTCGCTCTTCCTCACGTGCCCTCCGGCGCCTCTCCCTATTGGTGACTCCTTTCCTCCGCCCCCCCACCTCCACCTCTTCAGGCCTACCGGGCGCTCTGCTTTTACTCCCCAGGTAGGAGCGCCACGTGACCTCGGGCTCCGAGTGTCGGCCTGAGAGGAAGGGGAAACAGGAGCTGTGCGCAGGCGCAGGTAAAAGGTGCGCGCGCCCAACGAGCTGGAGAAAGAAATGGCAAACCGCTCCAGCATCTCTGCCCAAAAAACCCCAGATGGGGTCGCAGAGAGTCGCTGGTGACTGAACAACAACTTTATAAATGCTAGTTATTATTAAGTGTTCTCTGTTAGATTGTGGGCTTCATAAAGTCAGGGACCATGATTAAGACTTTCTTTGTATCCCAGCACTTGACATGTAGTAGGCACTTAATAAATGTTTGTTGACTTTCCAAGGCACCAGGCTGGGAATGCCAAGACAAGAATAAACCTACTTCTATCGTCTAAGAGTTTATACCCCCCCACACACACACCACACACACACACCCCTTTTTTAAAAAAAGAAATTTAGTTCAATTTTTTTCTTTGTTAACTTGCATTAATTTTTCCTTCTTCCCATTTCCTATTGAACCCTCCCCACCACCATTGCCAAAAACAAAACCTCATAATAAGGATGGCCAGTCTAGCAAAACTGATTCTCACATTAGCACCATCCAAAAAATATGTGCTGGTCCTGTATTTGGAGCGAATCAGTCACCTGTCAGGTGGGCAGCGGGTTTCCTGTTGGTTCCCGTGGAATCATGGCTTGTCATTGCCTGGATAAGAATTCTCAAGTTGTTAAAGTTGTTTTTGGTGGTGTTAACATTTTTGGACATGGAAACAGCAGGAATGTGTTTGCTTCATTGAATAGTTCTTACAAAGGTTTAGTCTTTCTTTTGGGGGGTTGGGAGAGAAGACAGTCGTCAATGTGGTAGGTAGCGTAGGGAATGAAGTGTCAGACTTGGAGTCAGGAAGACCCAAGTTCAAATCCTGCATCAGACACTTAGCCAGGTGACTCAGTAACCCACAGGGTGCTTGTGATAACAAGATAAAGGCTTATATAAATACTGTTTTTAAAAACCCTGAATACAAATGCAGCTCTTTTCACTTTTCTCTGAAATGTCTGTCCATGTCATCATTCCCTGTATTCTTATATGCCCCAATAAGTGGGCAATCTCTTAGCTTCCATTTTTCTGTGACGACAAAAAGAACTGGTATAAATGGATTCGTTAGGTATGGGTCCTTTTCCTCTTGGATGTCTGAGATAAAGATTAGCCACAGTTTAGTGATTTTGGGCAGCTAGGTGGCGCCATAGTGCACAGAGCTCTGGGTCTGGAGTCAGAAAGACTTGAGTTCAAATGTGACCTCAGACACTTCCTAGCTGTGTGACCCTGGACAAGTCACTTAACCCCGTTTGCCTCAGTTTCAAACCACTCTAGTATCTGCCAAAAAAACCCAAATGGGATCACAGAGAGTGGGACACAACTGGACAACAATATTTATAAAGTGCTTTATGGCTTGCAAAGCTCTCTCTCTCTCCCCATACATATATATATATATATGTATATATATATATATATATATATACACACACACACACACACACACACACACATATATACACACATACACATACACACACATATATATACATATACACATATATACACACATACATATATATACACATACACACACACATATAAATATATATGAAATTTTATTTTTTTTGCTTTTTGGTGAGGCAATTGGGGTTAAGTGACTTGCC